GCATGATTAGCCAAATGCCATAAACAGTTTTAAAACAGGTTTAATAAGAAATACTAAAAAAAGCAACTACCAAACGTAAATTATTATACATTAAAAATAGTAATTAACCACCATAATTGGTAGCTCAAATAATTTCACCAAAACGTCATTTATTGACTGGAACTCGACTAATGCCTAACAATCAAATAGCGCGTATCGGATAGTTCCGATTTTGTGTGGCCGTGTTTATAAATTTCCTTTGGATGGGCATCGACAATTCAATTTAGGTGAAATAACTCTGAATGAATGAACTCTGAAAAATATTCATGTTTTAAAATAACCAAAAAACATATTTGCCGCCCTCTTGTGTCTCAGATCGTAACCGTCGGCGGACAAATCAAAATTTGTAAACATTGCTGACCGGTCGTTGAGTTTCGTTTGCATGGAAGTGAATTCCGTCAATTAATTCCAAAATGTCCATTCAATATGTCGCAGTACTTAACACCCTTTTATAAGTTACAAATAATGTTATCACTAATAACAAAATATCTACCACCACTCTAATTTTAAAAACATCCCTAAAATATAAAGTTGAGGAAAATTTCCCGTTTCCCATCTCCTTCAGCTTGAAATGCGAGTTTTGTTTCTTTTTACATTCTTTATTCACAAAATATATTTCATGTATGGTGAAAAAAATAAATTGGCCTGTCGGAGACTCTCAGGGAATCCGGGATTAGTATCGGGTACAATCAGTCGAACCGTGGCGGATAATCAGCCCCGTGTGCTAGCCGCGATGATGCGAGCGCCGCACCATTATACCCATCGTTTATATGCCATTGCGCGTCATATCGCTTTGTCACTGTGCTATAAAAGAAATTGTTTTCAGTCAACCCCCGCCTGTAAAACGCCCAGTTAATTCCAGCCACCACAAACTTGAGTCCAAGTCAAATGATATGTTATATATATGGATGCTATATCACCCCCACAGTATTAACAATAGCTTGAAGACCCGGTGGCAGCCGTCTCGCGAGCAATTGCCTACTGCTGAATTTTCCTATTTTTTATTATATCCTGATGATTCAAGAGTTCTTGATAATGCTTTAAAGTAAGTCCTTTCTTAAGTTACTGCCTAATCTTTCTTAAATATCTTTCCTACTCGTTTTGAAGGATTAATAATCTATGTTTTGCAGTTATTGAAATAAAAAAGTGTTATTTATAAGTAAATGGATGTCGGTTTCCATATTTTGTATATTTAAAATCTTGCAATTCTCCACTTTGTAATTTTGTTTTTAATAAATTAAAATAAAAAACATCCTCCGAAAATAAATCCTAGTGTTATTTTTCGAAAGAAAATTGAAATAAGACACTGTCTTATTTTCCGGGAAACTCGCTATTTCCAAACTTGATAAGGCAATTTTGATGCATTGGTTATTCAGTATATAAATTGTTCGTCATTTGCTGATTGAGTGGAAAGGGAGACAATCAGCTGCTAATTAACTTTATCGTTAAATTTTCTGACTAAGATTTGCGGATTGGTGCAATTAAGGCTGAAAGTATATTATTTACTGTTTGTTGTGTGGTTTAGGACAAATTTTGGTACTCCCGAAGTATGTGAACCAAGATGGCGGACACCGGAATGTAGTATGTGTACCAGGTTATGGTTAGACCATAATTTCAGGTACAAATACTACGGGAGTCACTTCGCTAGTCCTCAAACTCATAATATAGCTAAAATAGGGAAAAACGGAATGAAATTATGTCCTAACTCTAACCTGGTACACATACTACGTTCCGGTGTCCGCCATCTTGGTTCACATAACTTCGAGAACTACACAACAAACAGTAAATTAAAATATATTTTCAGCCTATACTATCATAAGTGTAGAGCATTGGTCGGCAATCCGCGGCCCGCGGGCGAGTGCGGCCTGTAAACAATTTTTTCTGTGGCCCTCGAACGACCTCACTTTGCATATAAACAAACTGGCTGTACCTTGTTTGTTTTGTAATAATTTGTAGTTGCACGTACGTCATAATTCAAAATTTGATGTGATAATTGTTTATATGTGAAAATTACTGTGGCTAACAGTCATTGGCTATTTTTGACTTAGCGGCGCATAAAGTTTGCCTGGCACTGCATGGTGTGTGGTCATATTTAGTTTAGAACCCATCGCCGAGTTTTCCAGCTCTATGCGAAACATTCAAATTTATTGATTCACTAAGCACGAGTATGATTTGCTTTGCGACTTGGCCGTGTCAGGCAATAACAATTTTACATGACGATCTGTTTTCATTCACCCATGCTACTATATTATGCGATGATGAGCTTATATACAGCATATGCACAAGGGTCGAGAGCCTAGATCAGGGCTACTCAACTATTTTTACCGAAGATCCACGTACCAAACTTCAAAAATATTTGGGTTCGGTCTTTCCAGAAATTATATTTCGAAACCCTTAAAAACGCACTTCCTCGGTCGACTAATGATTATTAGCTAATCAAGATTGTTTGTTACGGTGTTCTAGTTATTTTCATATATATTTAAATCTATAAAAGTGATTTTATAAAAGGAAACTTCAAAAGTGCGGCTAATAATTCAAAATAAAAATTAGACGCGGTCCGAATCGAATACCCGAAAAGTCCGGATTTGGACCGCGGTACGCCAGTTGAGTAGCCTGGCCTAGATGACCTTAATCGGTCCTGCACACCAACCCGCACAAAACAATAATCAATCACTGCTGAAATATATTCTTTATTGTATTATGTCTATAATAGTGACTTTGTTTTTGTGGCAACAAATCTCTCTCTATAGATCTATTAAAACACCTTGTTTCGCCACCCACAGTCGGGATCACCACTACAGTGACGCATTGTGAACAGGGAGAGAAAAAATTGACAAACGGTTGTTAGCTGCAGACTACCGGTATAACCGGGGTCTGCGCGCTTTCAAGGCGCTTTACCTCGGTCATGGATTCGTATATATACTACTATTTCTTTGATCACTTCAAATTATGGTGGGTGTATTTAGCAAGGCGTTTTGTAGGCGTCAACACTGAGTGATATGTATTGTTGGAATACCAAAGCATCATACACACAACGCCTGGGCTTCAACAAAAGACCATTTCTTAAATGTACCTGCGCGGAGTATTCATTTAGAATTTTAGAAAAACTAGAATAATAGCCAACTACAGCGGCGCCGCCCAGAGCATTTTAAAATTGATAAGATCATTATATGATGTCATATTGCACACACCGTATAAAATTCATTGACCTGACGTATTGATTTCATGAAATGCATTATGAATCCATAATGACATTACGTCATCGTCTCTCGAATATTCCATCTCCCTATGCTATTCTAACCTACCCAGACCCGCTCACTCAACCCATACCAATTCTTTTCTATTCTTCTCTATTCTTTTTTACTAGGTTCAGTAGCTTCATCACTCTCTGATCGGCCAAACCATATCCGAGAGGACATGTTTTTTTCCTTTTACAAGTCAGCTTTCCTTACCCATCTAGACTAACTTTCTTGGCTCCATCCGCCCCTACAAATCTAAACCTACCACTACCCGCTTCCCCAAATCCTTCCGTCTCCTGAACTTCTCTAACTCATCCAGACGCACTCAATCGGATCATCCTGCTTCCCTACCCCTTTCTAACCAACCCCCTTACTCGACTCCTTCCGTCTCCCTAAACCTTTCTAACCAACCCCTTCACTCGACTCCACCCGCCTCCCTAAACCTTTCTAACCAACCTCCTCACTCAACTCCTTCGGATTCCATGAACCTTTCTAACCAAACCCCTCACTCGACTCCTTCCGTCTCCCTAAACCTTTTCTATCCTACCCCGTCACTTGACTCCCTTCCTAATCAACCCACTCATTCGACTCCTCCCGTCTCCCTAAATCTTTCTAAACAGTCCCTTCACTCGACTCCTCCCGTCTCCCTGAACCTTTCTAACCAACTTACTCACTCGACTCCTTCCGTCTCCCTGAACCTTTTTGTAACCAACTTACTCACTCGACTCCTCCCGTCTCCCTAAACCTTTTCTATCCTATCCCGTCACTTGACTCCCTTCCTAATCAACCCACTCATTCGACTCCTCCCGTCTCCCTAAATCTTTCTAAACAGTCACTTCACTCGACTCCTCCCGTCTCCCTGAACCTTTCTAACCAACTTACTCACTCGACTCCTTCCGTCTCCCTAAACCTTTCTTATCAAACCTTTTACTTGAATCCTTAACGTCTCCCTGGACTGTTCTTGTCAGCTGTCGTTCTTATGCTTTTATACGACAGAAGAATGCTAACGAGATTAATAGTTGCGAACGCAGGATTGAGTTGACTCGTAAATGGTTGACTACATTTCAGCTCAGTTGTTTCAAAGCATAAAGTATAGTTCGTAATGCTTTAGGTATTGAGTTTTACAAAAGCGTAGAAAAATTTGAAGACCTAAAGCAGCACCGTCCTGGCATGATTAAACAAATGCCATGAACAGTTTTAAAACAGTTTTAAAAATAGTAATTACCCACCATAATTGGTAGCTCAAATAATTTCAACAAAACGTCATTTTTTGACGCCCGATGCCTAATAGTCGAACAGCGTGTATCGGGATTTGGGGATCGTTGTGATTTTGCGTGGCCGCAGTTGTAAACTTTCTTCAACTGAGCATCGTCAATTTTATTTTAGTAAAATAAACAAATTTTTTTCATGAATCAACAGTCGACAAAACCTCAATTGGAGAAGGATTAGGCAAAAAACACCTAAAGTATGAAAAATTTCGCAATGGCAAGGAATAAATAGATTTTAATAGTGAAAATAGATCAGGAAAACATTTATTGAATGAAATAAATAATTTTTCCTCGGAAAAGTCGTCTTATCGGTTATTCTTTCTTTCCCCATGAATAAAAAATCTTACTAAACTCTGTGAAAAAATGTCCATGTTTTAAAATAACCCCAAAATAGATTTGCCGCCCTCTTGTGTCTCAGATCGTAACCGTCGGCGGACAAATCAAAATTTGTAAACATGGCTGACCGGTCGTTGAGTTTCGTTTGCATGGAAGTGAATTCCGTCAATTCCAAAATGTCGCTTAAAATCACCGAAGAATGGGTAAAAGAACGAATAAAAATGGACCATGATAAGCTAGGTGAGTTAATATTGATGGGGATATAGAATATCAGGCCCCGCAGTGCGGTGCAATTTTGAAATCTTAGAATTCCGGAATTGCTAAATTTGTAGCTTTAATATGTATGTTAAAATAGGACTTTCGTGTTTATTCGGGTAGAGGAAAGCCTACAAGACGGCCTATTTTTTTAAGACACTTGCACGACGTCCACTTGTCTGGTTTGGGATTACTGGAATGGTTAAACATGCAATCTCAGAAACTGCAGAACTGGTTAAATGACAAAACCAATGTCTTATCTACGTAAAATGGCGCCCATGACAAGATTTAAAAATGCTCCCCATTGAATGTTGACTGGCACTTTTTAATGACTGTTGTTGAATAGAGATCCTTGTACAATATTATTTGCTAAAAATACGAGTCTAAATTATTCCCAATTCTGGAATTACGGTATTGTATTGAAACACTTTACGATTAATACTTTTCGGCCTCTTTTGCCCATGGTCCATTTAATTTAATCATTAGTTTAACTTCTCTCATGTATCAAAAATATAAATTTTTCAGAGGATGTAAGATCTCTCGCTCTCCCTGGTTCATATCATGAAAAAATCGCAAGTTTGTCGACTTCTCTGAGTAACTTCTCGAGATTGCAACAACTTGATGTATCAAGGAATGCCATCAGTTCACTAGACGTAAGATTTTCTTCAAGTTCCTGATTTTTTTTCCTACCAGGTGTTTCCAAAACGAACCGAATATTTGAATTCATCAAATCCGATACAGGCCTGCAGTAAATTTTGGAATTTAGGAGTAATTTAGAGTGTTCTTTAAAAAAATTGAAGAATTTGAGTCATTAGATGAATGTACGCAAACATAATGGGGTTTGGAATTTACCGATTATATAACACTTTAATTACCAGTGGAATGATAAACATGGGGGGCCATGAGCGCTAAACACCTTTGAAGAGGAGTTGGGCACCACTGCTATAAATAAATATGAAGTAAAATTTCCTTCTTCAAGACAATGGTTGTTTCCTGTTTGGTAAGTGCTTTTTAAGTTCTTTTGAGCCATCAGTGAAATTTTCGGACACAATTAACGACTTTTTCCTATCAGGATCTCTTCTAATCTCAAAATGCCTATCTTGTCTATTTTTATCCAATTTCTCATCAGGCTAATAATATTCAGCATAACAAAAATCTTTCTCTCTTTTTCAGGGCCTCGCTCATCTCAAATATCTCGAGACATTAAACCTTTACTACAACCAAATACCGGATCTTAAAGAAGTTTTCAAACTCCGCAAAAATCAAAGTCTTAAAAACGTGGATCTGCGTTTGAATCCTGTCACAAAGACGGAGCCTGATTACAGATTATTTGTTGTTCATATGTTGCCATTACTAAGGACTCTGGGTAAGAATTTTGACGTAAAATAGTGAAATATAACGTTTTTTGACGTTTTTTGATTTTCTGTAGGAAATTTTGACTTTATTATTTACGTTTGTGTATTTAACTATGGACGCAGTTGTTGCGAACTTGAATGCAAACTATTTGTAGATAATCAAAATGCTTAATTGAAAACACTGGTATCGACTTATGTAATAACAGAAAAAGTTCGAGACAGAAACCAAGGTCACTCATGCATGAAGCAATTGGGGCCATAATACAGTATACTACAAAATATTGTTCATAGCCTATTCCCAATCGAATGCAATGCCCTTCAGATAATCGAGGCTATTTTGTAAACTTTTGTTCTGCAGATGACCGACCAGTGCGAGAAAGTGAAAGGAAGGCAGCTTTGATGCATTTCTCAAATGAACAGGTAACGATGGGGGGGTATTTTAATATCGACTTAAAGCAGCCAAATCTATGAGCGCCTGTCATCTTCATCGAATTTAATTGATAAAATGTCACACCTCAGTGGTTTCCAACTGTGCTCGAAGATTAATCTTTTTTACTTCTGAGTCGGGGATAATGACCTTGCTATGAGCAAGGTTTTTCAAGGAGCATTCGCATTATCTTACCAGAGTACTCTGAACAGTAAACAGTTTATTGGAATTTAAAATAAAAAATATCACTTTCTGGCCACTGTAGGCAGTCAAAGCCAATGTTCAGCAGGGTGTCCAAAATATTTCACCAGATTTTATAGTAATGACAATTGTAAATTTAAATAAATTTCATGAACAAAGACGAAGAAATTTTTAATTGTTATTGCTATAAATTTGGCGAAATTGTTTAGAAACCCTGTATATCATATTCTGGACCTTCCTGAAGTATGCGCACTAAGATGGCGCACAACCTGAATTCAGGTTGTGTACCAAGTTAGGGTTCAGGTTGTGCGACATCTTGGTGCGCATACTCCAGGAGTACCATATATTCTTGGGGGTTTTGAATCCTTCTCCGAGCTTGAATTAATTTATCTTTTATATCCACTGTAGGCAGCAGAAATGGAAGACAAGGACTCAGCAGCGGAAAACCTTGACACAAAACCCAGCGCTGAACCACGGATTTCAACGCAGCCCAGAGCAGAATACGTAAAGAATATGATCAAGAAACCAACTTGTAAGTAACGTTTTTCTTTTTTTTTCAATGCACATTTTAGTCTGAATAAAGATCTGTGCGAACTTGCATTGATGTACATCACAAGACAAGATGAGATTTTTTAGTACTCTCGTAGTATGTGTACCAGGTTAGGCCATAATTTTATTTCGATTTTCATTATTTTGGTTCTGTTATGAGTTCGGGACTGTTTGTGCTAGCCAAGTGAATATACCCTCTGCCCATACGCTATGTATCTTTGCACAACTTGATACACATACTCCTGTAGCGCCTTTTTTTATACGGTGCTTTTTACATATTTCTATCTACTCCGTTCTGACAGCTACCAATATTCGAGAATCTGCAGTTAGTGACTTCAGAGTAGCCGATTCTTTTTACACATGGTTGACTCCTAATGGGGATGTGTACAAGCATGCATCCAGGTGTGAGGAGCGAGTTTCAGATTCATTTCTTATGTATTTTACTCACTGAATTCCCAAACTTTCATTCAATGTCAGCCATGCATTTTATTTGGACAACTGGAGGCCCAATTAGAACTCCAGGTCTTTTTCACAAATCAAATTTCAAACTCACTTCAGGAGAGACTGAGGGCGGACCCCTTGAGCGAGAAACATTGCTCTAACCACCTTGGTCATTCATTTTGCAGTTGTGACTGAGGATGACACTTGCCTTGATGTGATTGATCTAATGAACAGGAATGGGGGGAATATAAGAAATGAAAGAGCGCCAACCGGTGGTGTATTATCAGAACCAGAGACAGAAGACCACACCCATGAAGGTAAAAGTTAATTCAATATTTTTTGGTACATAGTATGTGTACCAGGTTTTATTCTGATTTTCCTTATTTTAGTTTTGTTACGAGTTCGAGGACTGTCTGTGTTAGCCAAGTGAATATACCCGCTGCACATAGGAGTCAGTCCCTTTACACAACTTGATGTAAAGTAGGCGAACAAAATTAGGTATCTCCATATACCACATACTTCTGGAGCGCCTTTTTTTATTTTGATTGTTTGAAATTTGTCCTGGTGTTAGAGGGAAGAGCCCCCCTTACTTTGGTAACTTTTTTTGACGTTCGGCTCTTATGCAAGAATATACAGTATATTCCATGAGATACAGAAAATTTATTTCAAATCCTAAACAAATGGTAATTTATATTTGAAAGTTTTGATAAAATTAAAATTGATTTGGACATTTGGACATTCCAAAAATTGTAAAGAGCCACATTTTTAACTCACATGCCCTATATCTATGATCTTACTTGGCCCAATCAATTGTTACATCAGTTATCCCCATATTATATTTGGCCCATGTCAAATCTGTATGCTTTATTGTAACCTATACAATGAATGAAAGAGTCTAGTTACTGTAATAACACAGACATTGAATAGGAAACATGGGGTCCGTTAGATGTTTTGAGTTTTCGTTTAAATTTTGTTTGGTTTAGTGACAGTAATTGGTAGAGGAGGTCACTATAAAAATAAGGGATGCCCAAAATGAATCAGTCAGTATTATAAGTGGGTTTGAGGGGGGTGGGGGACATAAAATTGAGTTTATATGGGGTTTGGGATTGAAAAGATAGTATCAAATAGAGTCCACTGAGTGTTTTGAGTTGTCGTTAAGAAGTGTTGAACTAGTAATGGTTGTGAGCGGGTTAGTATCAGGGCTTGGAGCCCAAAATGGATCGAATATTCAATTCGGGTGATCTGTAATTGGTTACATTCGACATTTTAGCTTCTTGATTGTTATTTATTGGATTTAGCGGAAATTGAATAGAAAAATGGGACTGTTAGATGTTTTGTGTTTTTGTTTGAAAAATTGAGTTTATGGCATTCGGGATTCAAAAGATAGTATTAAATAGAGTCCGCTGAGTGTTTTGAGTTTTTGTTTAATTATTGTTGAGAAGGGTAGGGTTTGTGTCAAAAATGCAGTGGGATAGTGCTAGGGTTGGAAATGTCTGAAGTGATTCGAATATTTATCGCAGTCAGAAATTGGTTTGATTTCAATACTGTACATATTGGATTTTAGGATATTATTCAGGATATTTTAATGGCGCTCCAGAAGTGTGTATACCAATATGGAGGTAACTTATTTTTTTCGCCTACTTTACATCAAGTTGTGTAAAGGGACTGAAGCCTATGGGCAGGGGGTATATTCACTTGGCTTATACAATCAGTCCCCGAACTCGTAATAGAACTAAAATAAGGAAAATCGGAGTAAAATTATGTCTAACCCTAACCTGGTACACATACTACGAGAGTACCATTTTAATTGTTGAATAGGGTGTAAAGTTTGGATCGGAAATGTTAAAAAAAAAATCAGAATATATTCATAAATAGTCAAATTCAATATTTTGAATTCTGACAGACAGAATGAAATATGGTTTGTCATATGCTCTAAGATTTCATTTAAATTTCATAAAGCATACTTTTACTTTCAGGACTTGTAAAATTAACAGAAAAAGACGATTTCAGGAATAGGAGACAACGGATCAAATCACATGAAGGTAAGATATAAGTTTATTAATTCGATGTCAGTGCTATGTTCAAAGCGTTGGACTTAACTGTGTTGGCATCGTTCAAAATCAGTCAAAACTACGACGCTGTCTCCCTAACTTTGAAACCTTTTTTTTCAGATTTTTATAATATATTATTTACGCATTTTTAATCTCCAAATAAACCATTTTTTGAATAATTTTTTTTAGAAATGAACGGATTCCTGAGTGAAAACGATATGAATGGGATAGAAAGAAGGGGAGAGATGAATTAGTGAGTAGAATGTCAACTGTTTTATCCGTTTATCTTTGCCTCAGTGTTACTACAACTAGGGCTGGGAGTAGGAGCCTAGAGCCATTGAGCCGTGACATTTTGATGGAGCCTGGAGCCATTGAGCCGTGACATTTTGATGGAGCCTGGAGCCATTGAGCCGTGACAGTTCTGACTATGTAACAGGATAGAAAAAGACTTACATTTTTATCTCTTGGGGTCGATAAGACGGCCTGCTCATATGGCGACCATCAGCTCTCGTCCAGTTACAGGTCCATGTCAGGTATGGGATTAGTTAGCTAGTTTTCGGAAGCATGGACTTGATGGGGGAAGAAGCCGTAACCGATCAGCGGTTACGTGAACCACCTTACGACGGCGAAGAGACCAGCAGTCCTCTAGCACACAACTATCCCCACAGCATTCGAACCTGCGAACTCACACAATCAGAGGTGCAGTGGAGAACGTATTTCTAACGCATTTTCAACTTATTTTCAATGTGATGTGTCTGATTAACCCACCCAGTGTGTAATAAATTGGTTACAAGAATGCTGAACGTGGAATAATCCGGTTAGAAACTTCTTTCATGCCAGATGTCACTAACTGTTCGTACAAAGCCTTGTTCAGGATAAATGTGGATCTAGATAGCGATCGGAGGTGCCGACTTATCGATCTTCCGCATGTTCAATATCTTACTCAATTTTGAGACACACAATAGTTCGCAGCGACGAGAGTTAGGGGATACCCCAAAACAGAAACTGCGATTTCCATTCCTTCGCTCTGACTCAATAGCGACACCGCGTGTCCCATCACTAATTAATTAATAACTCTGTAATTATACGACATAATTCATCCAAAATCAATAGGCTTCTGGTCCGAGATATGATGAATGCACATGCAAAATCTGGAGCAGATTTAACCTTGCTTTCGTGAGATATTGTGTAACATACAAAAGTGTCAAACAGACAAACAAACAAACAAGTGCCTAACAACATACTTACCGATCGAGATCGATAAGTAGTAAATAATCGATTCTATTTTTTCATTCCAGCAAACCTAGGCTGCTGTCTGGTTCCAGTTCATCGCTTTCCAGTAAGAAATCTGCTCCGATACGCATGGATGAATACAGATATACACCAGATGATGAAGCATACACCAAGTTTAGGAGTGTTGCAAACTTCACTAGACATCCAGGTAAAATGAGTGACATTTTTGCTTAAATTATAACCCACCATTTATACTTACCGATAGGTCGCACTAAAAGTTTTGTGTTAAAGTTTAATTTAGAGTTGACTCGCACTGAAAATCTAAGGATTTAAAAAGCCCTTTCCTTAGCTTTTTTTCATAGATGACTTCCTATTTTGTTTTTTTCGTAGGGCTTAATATACCGCATATCCTAAGTTTTACTGCCTGATCTTGATTTAGGACCCGTTTGAATAGCCGCCCATTTGAACAGAACATAAAAATAAATAAGGGCTGGTGCTTGAATACCCGCCCGATGTAAAACTTCGGCGTCCGAAACTTTTTTTCTTTTGCGGAATTATACCTGCTGTGCGTAGAAAAAGTCAAAATTTTCGTTATTCTCGTTTAAATTATACTTGATAACTGGAAATAACAATATAATTCTACAATATAATTAATTATTGTAATGATCGAAAATAACAAGCGCTCGTGCTTGAATAAGAGCCCGGTTAGTGAGTTGGTTGAAAAAAATATGGGCCCGGGCTACTAAACGAGCAAATACGGTAATCGAAATCTGTGAGCGATAATAAGTGCATGTACGCAAGCGCAGACCATACAATTTTCATGAATAACCAAAATCGGCTCACTTGCAATGGCCGAAAACTTTCAATTTTGTTCCGACTTGGTGGCGATTTGCACTTATGTCAGGCGGATTGGTTGCAGTTATATTTTTTTTTTTAAATATAAAGGAAAAATTGCAACCCTATCTGTGACGATAGTATTAAATATTCCACCAAATAAGGCAATGTTTACTCTCCAGAAGATTCTCAAGTTTGATAGATCATTTCAATTTTTTCAAGTTTATTATTTGTTTATGAAAGTTCTATCTTTACTCAGAACCCGGTAAAAACGACTGATTCAAAATAACACTCAATTAGGACTGGGCATTTCGAATCGAATAGTAAATTATTCGAATCGGCTCAGAGCAAAATTTTTTTTTCAATGCAATTCTGACATATGACTCCTTTCTGTAGTGAGTTATTGATGAAAACATGTTTTTTCTTGTGTGTGAACGCTCAGTAATCTACCTGAGGGATGTATTCTATGTTTTCATTAATTTATGCGTCTGGACGACCTAATACAATAGGAAAATTACATAATATTTTATATCTCCCGGGTATTCGAGATTCGATTCGAAAAAATTATTCGATTCAATTCTGAAATCATCAGGTATTCGAAAATGCCCAGCCCTGCACTCAATGTAGATCATTGCCGTCAATGCAAATGGGTCTGCACTTAGTACTAGAATCCCGGTTCCATTTCATTTAAACCCATGTACATTTGCATCCGTAATTTGAACCCACGACAATTGCCCCTGCATACTATTGCACCTATGGAAATTTTTTTTAGGGATATTTGAACCCATACTAACCCTAACCCATGGGTTTTAGCACCCGCATATAGATTGAACCCGCGGATATACACATGGGTTCAAATGTACGCGGGTGCAAATGCATGGGTTCAAATGTACGTGGGTGCAAATGCATGGTCGGTCACTTAGAACTCCACTTAAAAACTGGCTTCTATTTTTTAGGAACAGATGCCCCACCCCCTACTGTTGGTCCGAGAGTTTCAGAATCGAGTTTGAAATCGGGGAGTAGCGATCGGATATCAAGTGCAACACCAGACAGTTTGGGGGATGAATACACAAGTTTACCTACAGTAAAAAGACTAAGTTTCGGGGTGAGTTTGTTTTTGTTTCATTCTATTTTGTGAAAACGAAAGATCTCGAGATCAAACCACATTCCTACTGCCAGACCATCGTTCCGTCATAGCCTGGAATTTTCAAATGGATAATTCTGAAATTTCTAATTGCCAAGTTGGACCGCGGGTTCGAAAATGTGGGTCATCAAAGTGTTTCAAGTTACAAAGTATTGCTCTGTATGATATGGAAAAATGCTTTTTTTTTTTAATTTTAGTAAAAGAGGGGGTTTCGACCATATTTTTCAGGCGTACTCAGCGCCTCCTTCGGAAACCTCTGTCATAAAGATTGGAAATAATTCATATTAATTTAAACTGAATCCTGTATATCTTTCAGGAAACAAATTCAAGCAAACCAGCAGAATCAACACATTTACCAAGGAGTTCTGTTCAAGCTAAATTCCTGGAAGAATTTTTGGATCTTGTTGATAAATATTGGAACGGATCTAGGTCATTGCATTACCATAAGAAATTTAAATGTGAGTATTATTGTGAGAAAACAGTTTTTCGAAAACTTGGCCTTCAGCTCCCCTGGGGGCTCATGGAGTGGTTTTCTGGTGGTCACAAGGAAAGTCGTTCACCAGGTTACCATTTGTTCCTATTTCCCATTACATCCCTTACTTCCCTACATGGCTTCTCTTGTTTCAATCTTGTGTGTCGACTAGGGCTGGGAATGGTTAACCTATTTTAGATGGTTAACGGTTACAATTTATCTGGGTAAAATTAAAAATTATTACGTGAAACGTCACGCCGTGGTTAACCGGTTACTTCTACCCGGTTAACGGTTAAAGTGTATTCCCTTAAATTGTATCGACTCAATTGCTGGACTGCTCCTTGTCACTGCCGCTGGTCTGTTACGACTTCGGCTGGCATCAAGTCTGCATCTGAAACAAAAAGCATCTGAAACAAGAAACTAGTTGACAAATAATCAATAGTCAACATAATCGGTAACTGGACAAGAGGCCGTGGTTCGCCAAAAGATTTATCTGTCAATCAATATCAAGTACATAAATAACTCTTTTTTACACTTTCAGCACTTATAGAGAAGCCTCTGGCAAGGTATGAGGAAGGACTGACATCAACAAAAGACATTCAATTTCGAGCCCTGCAGGATAAAATCGCAACCTTGACAACAGAAAATAAGAATCTCCATACTAAGTTGCATTCGGCATCTAAACAAAAAAGCAGTGGAACGCAAGATAGCCAGAAAGAACAGGTGGGGATTGTGTACATAAAATTCTGCAGAGTATATACAAGGTATTAAAGCTTGTAAAATTTTGTTTAACGCAGCTGTTCCCCTAACAGTGTTTTGAAATTGCAAATTATTCGATTTTGGCAACCATTACCCTAACAATTTACTGATGAAATTTACATACCGGTGTCTGGAAACACTTTTTCGTTGCTTAATACCATACCACGTTGAATGCACCCGATCGCTTTGATCTCGGAAGTTAAGCAATGTCGGGCTCGATTAGCACTTGCATGGGTGACCCGATGAGAATACAGAGTGTCTTAGGCTTTTCGCCTCTAAGAAGTTTTACTTTCATTTCTCCAATTAAAATTAAAATGATCGCCGGTTAGACTTGAAGATACCATTTATCAAAGGATCAGCGACTTGAGCCATCTATATAAAAACGACTCAGTATCGTATTCAACAAACAAACAGACCTGAATAATAGAAAGAAACTTGAAATAATTTCACAAAAACTAATTCAATTGTTAACCAATTTAATTCATATATTCCTAATGCTGAATATATTATATAGTGACGATACGAATGCTACAGAACATGAATATTTTAGCTTAGACATCACACCACAGGTTACACATGGCTACTTCACCTTCACAGTTGTTAGGTCATGGTCAGCCATCTGTGACTGATGACATCGCAGGCCATGCTCAGCCATCTGCGAAAATGCTAGTTGCCAGAAATACAATGAAGATGCAGTTAACATTATGATCACTTGGTGGCTCAACATGACCTTTGACTTTGGGTTCAGGGACTACCCAATACTCGTGGCAGTTTCAGTATATATTTAAACCTACTAGGTGGCATTTTTCTATCCCAGGACGCGTTACGATCTCGTCTGCAACTTTCCATGAGTGACAATAAAATTCTCCGAGGAAAAATCTCAGATTTGGAAGAAAAACTGAAATCAAGGGATGATGAAAAGGTATGAATGATAATAATATTTTTTCAGAGAGGAAAATTAATGCGAATGTCGGGCCCAAACAGTTGTTGTGCTAGTAGACGTAACTGTGTTGGCGTCGCAGATTCAAATCAAATGTCTCTCCGATCAGTGTTTCTCAAACAGGGGTCTTGGCCTTCTGGGGGACATGGGATTTTCTATTGCCAATTTCGAAAAGCTTTAACTAGGTACAATTCACAATTTGTTTATCTACACCGGAGGTGTGCAACCTTTACTATAGACGGGCCAGATATAAATAACTGGTTGAAACTGCGGGCTTCACCTGTATTTATCACAGGCTTTTCTGGTAGATGCGGGCACAAAAAGTTTGGTTATTGAGCTTATGACAAGCATTGTTCGCTTTGCACCAGTTCGAAAAAATTGAAAACGCGTTTTGCAGGCCGTACTAGATTCAAAATTGCTACTTCTCAGTGTACCTCACAATTTTGCCTTGTGGGTCACATTTGGCATCATGGGTGAGATGGAGGTTTGAATCAGAGATGTATAACCCACAATGTATGCATTTTCTTCACTCGTACAATGAAAATCTAATTTCCAAATATTTTGTATATACAGGATCACCATGACAATGACCATATGATGGAACTAGAGAGACAAAAAAGATCTTTGGTACAGCAAGTGGCAAATCTCAAATTTCAGCTCAAAAATTACGAATCTTTGGACGATCTGACAAAAATGTTACAAGAGAGCCACAAGTGAGTATTTATTGGGGCTTGGGGGGGTGGGGGGGAGGCATAATTAAAAAAAATCCATGTCTGTTTTGAGGTTGTGGAGTCAGTAAAAAGGTAAGCCACTTTAATCATGGTTTTTGTACCCCATTGAAGGGAATATTGGCTCCAAATATTCATAATAATTATTTTTTTTATTTTTTTATTTTCATAAGTAGTTTTAGTGTGATTGCACTCATCCCCTTATGTATCAATGGGTGTTTATTTTAAGCCCTGTAAGTTCTTTGTTAAGTTTAAATGTCCCCAAACCAAGTTAAACTTCCGTGGCGCATTTTGTGTGCTTGCTATATTGAAATAATAACTACTGGGAGAATCATGATTTTGATATTTAAAAATAGGGATACATACTTGAACAAGTTGGATGTTTAATTAGCATTGGGGCAGTGTGTAGGCATAGTTATACTCAGTGGTGGGATTTAGGGAATTCATACGAACTTGTTTTCGGGATATCATGATAATCAGCGGAGCGATCTTGTTTTAGATCTACAAGCTTGGTACGGTTTTCTGAAATGATGGAGCCTGTTAGTGTTGTGAGTTGGATACAAATGAGACCATTTTTGAAAATTTTGAATTCTATCACTGGCTGTGCCAGAATAGTTATCCAAATTGAAATGTTCACTCACTCTCAAAACAGATTACACATTTACTACATCTCCTTCTGTAATTATAGCATCAAATGAAATAAAAATCTTTCTTTTACTGCCAGGTCTCTGATCTCAACCAATGACCGACTTCTTGGCGAACTGGACGAGACTCGAAGTCGACATCAGAGTGAAGTAGAGCAATTGAAATGGAGTTACGACCAACTACGGAAAACCAGTATGCTGCTTGGTTCAACCAATGGAACTACGAATGGAAAGGACGTACCGTACACTAATGGTTACTGATGGACCAGTTGTTGATTTTTGCCATTTTCCGAAAAAATGTTTTGATAATCGCTTTTTTGGACATAAAACTTAAAAATCGATTTTTGCTGAATGTTGGGATTGGAACAAAAAATCACTTTTTTCTTTCCTCAACTATTCAACCTAACAATTTCATATTTTCAGTGATCAAAGTTGACAGTGTTCCTTTAGTGCTGTTACTAGAAGCTATAAATCCTATATTTCTGTAAAGTTATTGGACACGAGTATTTATCGTTTATTGTTAAATGATGCGACAAAAATTTTTGGAACTCCAGAAGTATGTGCACCAAGATGGTGCACAACCTAAAAATAGTATGTGTACCAGGTTGGGGCTCAGGTTGTGCTCCATCTTGGTGCACATTCTTCGGGAGCGCCAATTTTTTTATTGTTAACTACTGGATTAATTGCAGAATACTCAGTAGTTGGGAAAAGAGCGGTGCTTTTGTCACTTTTATATATTCCGCTTGACTACCTGTATCTAAACCTATTCTACCTACCCAAGTTCTCCAAAATATTTTTTTAACTACAGAACCAATTGCTTTGAAATTTCTAGTGGTTAAAAACGGACATCTCTAGGAACGCAATTATTCCTATATTTTTTATTATTTTTTTTAGTTCCAATATTTTTGCCTAAGTTGTGAGAACTCAATGAATTTTCTGTTGAACGATTTATTGAGTAAATATTCTGGGTTATTCAGTTCAGATGGTTTATGCCAATTACATATTCTTGGTTAAAATTTTGTGCATACCATGATTTGATGCTTCATAAAACAACTTGGAATATTTGACAAGGCTAAATCGTAACATATCAAACATTTTGGGATGGACCAGGGGTGTAGCCATGGGGGTTGATGGGCGCAACCCCCGTTTTGAAATGTAAAAAAAAGGATTCTCCTATATCACACAGCAATTTTTCGTAGCCTGGAAGCTTTTTAGACCCTCGTGACTCTGGAAAATCTGTGTTTTCTGGCCCCTATGTCGAGACCCGCCAGCTGTTGGGGCCTATTTGGCTATTCGAAAGTTCAGAACCCCTCCCTTTGAAAATTCCTGGCTGGCGGAGTCTGGACGGACATCCCTAGTATCTACATAAAAGAAATCTTAAGGCTCGCCTCAACGCATACCAGTGTTTTTACACATATTTATTACCAGTATACTTTTTCAGGCAGCTGCTCAGTTGCATATGAAAGTCCCAAACATATAGATTTTTTTTTTGAATTTCAAATTTTTTGTATTCGGTATAACCACCAGTGTGTCTTAGTAAACTCACCAAAATGTGTAATCAAAATATTTAATGATATGTAGATTTAGTAATTTATGCACAATTTATACTTTTTACTTTATTTGTTACTGGCCGTGTAATCGTCTGTGATTGTTTTGTAATAGGAGCAATGCCCACTATCCATCAAATATCAGTCCGTACACCTTGAAAACAAATACCTGGCTAACTACTTCCATACCTGACATGGACTGATAACCGGGCGAGAGGCCGTGGTTCACCATATGATTAAGCCGTCTTATCGGCTTTCCTCTCCCCCTGGATACATAAGTTAATCCTATATCCTTCTTATCTTATCCTAAATCTCATAATACAGTTCCGACTGTGGTATTAATAAACTAAAATTTTGTAAGGTTGGCGAACCCTAGTGTTTACTGTAATATATCTCACTGTAATTGCTGCTTTATAATTGATGTTTGTAAATATATTCACGAATCTTTAATTATATATTCTTTCTGTATGAAGTGAATTTTTATTTATTCTTGGAAAGATGAGGGGGCGTAAGATGGTTTGATCACAAGGTGTACTGCGGTTATCGGACGGACATCAAATGACTAGTTTGTTCATCGATCCAAAGTAGATGTGGGAACCCATATGTCAGTCGTTATGATTAAGTCGTCTTATCGGCTTTCCTCTTCCCTGTGATAAATATGTTAATTCTATTTACAGTGTTACAAAAGCAAAAGTATAAAACGACTCGCTTCGTGCCAAAACTAAATTTTATCGCAATCAGGGCGCATCGGTGTGGCTCATTGGGCTAAGCGTTAGGAATACGCTCGCCACCGCACCTCTAATTACTCTGCATGGGTTCGCAGGTTCGAATCCCATGCAGGGATGGTTATGTGCGAGAGGATTGCTGGACTCCTCGCCGTCGTTGGGTGGTTCACGTAACGGCTGGTCGGTTACGGCTTCCTTCACCACCAAGTCTATGCTTCCGAAAACAAACAATACAACTAATCCCATACCCGATTTGGAATGGTACCGGTAACCGGACGAGAGGTCGTGATTCGCCACATGGAATCACGGGATAAATATGTAGATCCTATCCCAACAAATTCCTTGAGCTGTTTTTTTGCTAAAACAGCAAAATTTAGACTTAGTTTGGTTGTGACACCGTCAGGCGGGCCGGATTGCATGACCCATTGAGCCCACGGGCCGTAGTTTGCCCCTGTCTGATCTATATGATGTTCGCAATAAACAGAATAAGATACAACGTGAAAAACGATCAAATTATTTGAAAAAAACAACAGTAAAAGTAGATTGAGGCAATAAGCACTCTGATCGAATTTTTAAATCAGGGTTCGACTCCTTGCACCTACTATTCAATCTTTTTATACACTGGCCAGGAAAATCTTTCACTTCGTTATACTATTTTTTAACATTGTTTTAAATTTACGTCAGTGTTGACGTTTTTTGCTAAAATAAAATCTTTTTCGGGTAAAAATTGTAGATCATGGTAGGCCGCGAGCCGAGGCCATTTATCTTTCAGTTTCGTAGCGCACATCAGGTAACTACCTGAAAATGATTTTAAAATGTTCCTTAGAAATTTAGTAACAAATATTGCCTTGTTCCCACTTCCAAAGGTTGCACGTTTTACAGAAAAGACGCTTTTACTACAATAAATATGTGTTACCATCTGTCCTATTTTCTCTGCTTTTCCGGTATCATGGGCCAATGAACGCAGACTTCTGCACGACGTAACAGTCAAGTTAGTCAGCTGTAGGTGGATCCCCAGTTGTCGGATGAATATCAGATGTACTACAACTGCTCGCTTTTGCGTTGAGTATCCTTTCCATAGTTTTTTTCAGTTACCGGTAATATTAGTTCAGTTATTCTAAGGAGGTGTTGAAAAGTATAGGTAAGATATTAAACACTTGTATATCCTTACCATAAATAGCAATTTTAGTTGAGCACTAGCTCATAAGACGTTGTTAAATGGGTACGGTGCGGTAACTCCAAGGAAGGCTAGACCTAGAATAATATGTCACAAACAACGATATTTTCTGGCTTGCATGAAATGTTTATGATTAATTTAATGACTCTTCTTGACTATTCAGCAGACTTATACTACTATATAGGCCACAGCATATTTGGAAATAGAAATGAATGGCTGTATCTGTAATGCACGGTTGTGTGAAAGAGAAGAAATTAATCAATTTCACTAATGTCGGTTGGTCTAAATCTAAATTCATAGAGTCGACAAGAACCTGGGAAGCAATGGTAAGTTGTGCCGGAGTGGAAAGAAAGGTAGCATTGGAAACGATTGAGAGGTGAGAAATCAAGTTGTAGACAAACAGTTGATGTTTTAAAATATAGTCTATAGTCCATACTCGTACTGTCATAGGACATTTCAGACTGTGATATATCAAAATTTAGTGTAGATATAGTCTAGTAATGGTATGCAAACACTGCTGGACTGTAGTACATGCAATGAGCATATATACGCTCATTTAGTACATCAGATAAAATGCATTATGTATTCAAGGTATTAGTTAGTATTTAGGGGTATTTTTAAACTCATGCTGCTCCAAATATTATTTTCTTCCTTATTTTAGATACTGTACTACAAAAGAAAACGGCAAACGCAGGCTCTGATCCCTGCTGCTATCAGTGCTATAAAATGTATTAAACAAGAAGTCTTGAAGCTTAAAGGTATATGAGAATCATAATAGTTGCAAACAGCATAGATGGGCTATTCATATTGAAATACTTTAGCACTTTTCTGCAATTGGAACTGCCCATCAAATTCATGTTGGAGACTTCATTGAGATTTTCAATTCATTTTTTTCCCTCGACTATGAAGATCTTTTGAGGTTAACGAGGCATTAATAAATAAAGCTGAGGAATTTGAAGAGGATATGAAGAATGTAAATGATACCAGGGCACGTCTATTTAACACTGTCAAACATAAGGATTATACTCTCCACCCAACAATGATTCACTGAAGAAGCATGTGGCCCTCAAATCAGTTCTTGAGTTGGCAAACTGCAAGTGTAAGAAAAATAGTCAAAATAATTTATGAAAGTGTGCCAAAATCAAATCAAATTGCACAGATTTTTGTTTTTGTATTGACTGCAGAAATCACAGTACACTTATAGAGGAAAAGTCGATTTTTGAGATAGTGGATTTCGAAAACAATTCAGAAGAAAATGAATTAGATATTACAGTGGATTTAATAAGTATCATTTATTTGTTTGTTTTTTTCGGACATTTGTTAGTGTCGTAGTCCTGTTTCTAGAAATATTATTGCCTTTGTTCAAATACATAACCACATAAACTAAAAAAAGATTAATTGTAAATTGTAATATTTCTGTTCACTATGTTATGTACATATTGTACATTCATTTAATTTTCTTGACTTTTGCGGTAAATTTCTAAGTGAGAAATAAACTGATTTATTTGTGTTTTCGTGCTCACGATGTTAATTTGTGACTTCATTGCTTAAAAATAAATATGTTTGATAGCTTTTATAAAATGGATGTAGCTTTTTATGCTGTTCTTGTTGTAAACTGCTTGTGGTTATTACATAAAATTTATTCGCAAATGTAAATCAGCGTTGTTGGTGTCGCTGCTTTCGAGGTCACTCCCTACTCCTGTCACACAATTAAAGTATTTTTTGTTGTTGGTTACATGTATGCCATATTTTTCGTAATTTTTCGTAATCTACCTAATAAATTATGATTGACTGAGGAAGTCCGATTTTGGTCAGGCAAAACATTACAGGAATACATTTGTGTTAGTGTGCTGTAGGGCTCTCGAATTGTATAGTTCTTATGTATGTGTTGTAAACTTATGGTTATTGAATTTCCGGGAACCTCTTATATTCAATTTCGCACCAGGATTGTGGAACAAGCTGTAATGCGTTCATTATGTTCGTTTTCACACAAAACTGAAGAATTTATTTAGTTACCAGATGTGCGCTACGAAACTCATTTTCTGGGCGTTCTCATGGCTTCGTCTCACGGCCCATATCCGTGGTAAGGATCTACAAGTGTTTAATAACTTACTTATACATTTTTCAACAACGTCTTAGCATAACTTAACTAATAATAACTAAACAGGGCTATGGAAAGCCTGCCCAACTCAGCGCAAGGTCGAGCAGTAATAGCTAATATTCATCCGCTCGCTAACAGCTGGTTTAATTCAATTGTTACGTCATGCAGAAGTCATTGTTCCTTGCCGAAAATGTAGAGAATATAGGACAGATCGTAGCACATATTTCTTGTAGTAAAAGCGTCTTTTCCGTAAAACGTGCAACTTTCGGAAGTGGGAACAAGGCAATATTTGTTACTAAATTTTTAAGGAACATTTTAAAATCATTTTCAGGTAGTTACCTGATGTGCGCTACGAAACTCACTTTCTAGGCGTTTTTCAGGGCCTCGGCTCGCGGCCTATGGGGTTTTTAAGAATATTCACCTCGGGTTAAAGTTCAGATCGCTGTAGTGATAACTTTCTTAGTCTTTGATGACACTTCGTTTCTGCAGCTGGCGCTCGGTGTCGTTTGTCATTTCACGACTTTATTTAGCGATTTTGGTAATTTGAGTTTTTAATTGCGTGTTTTTGGGGGGAATAAATTGTTTTTGAGGACTGTTTGTTTTTAGTGGTTATATATACTTTCGAATTGAAATCTGCGAACGTGTACCAGTGACAATATGACTGAACAGACACTGTCGGCACCGAGACGGTACCGGTACCGGTACCACAACCTCTGTAACTGCAGAATTTCTACCGTAAATCTGTGACAGATAGAGAGAGATTTATTGCCGCAAAACAAAGTGATTGATTATTGCTTTGTGCGGGTCGGTGTGCAAGACCGATTGAAATCATCTACTGCATCTAGGAGGCGCAGTTCTTACCACTTCATGGCAGCTCCTGCCACGAACGTACCGTACCACGCCGTCTCCTGCCATGGTTTTATGGCGCTATTACCGGTATATTTACAAATTCATGTACCATATTTTAGTTTATCATGCGAAATTATATCTACTTAAACCCTAACCCTAACCCCAAATCCATCCAAACTGTATCCATAAGAAAAACATTCCAACTCACCAAATATTTATCACCATCAGCAGATTAGGGGCAGCCCTGCTATTACAGCCGACCTGCCGTGGTTACGGCAGTAAAATTGGTGGTATTCGATTTGCTGCCGTAACCACGGCAGCTCGCTATTGGTTTGTGGCAGCTAAAAAGTCAGTCGCCGTGGGTTTGGTCTTAGTGGCCGTGGTTTGGAAATCCCGCCATGGTTTTGCGGCAGCTGTAGACGCCACAAAATACTTGAAACTGCACTTGGCATCTAGGCTCCAGACCCTTAAATCGACACTAAATTGAATTGACAATTGGACATTACTACATTCAGTAATATCAAATGTCAATGTCTGTATTACGGCACTGTCAGATTTTATGAGCGAAATCTTAGTCGAAATTGATAACATTAAATTGTTAAGTTAATCAACTTCTTAATCAGCAAGCAATAAAATGATTGATAAAAACAAATCAATGAAAATATGATTAGGCTAATCAGTGTGGGTAATATTTTTATTTCTCTCTCTTTTATCAGTGATAATTGTCATTTTCTTTATTTTCCGAAGTGCCCAAATATGTGCCTAGCATACGGGTGACAGAGCGCGTGCGTCTCCCTTTAATACTACATTTTAAAAATCGCTATTGGATTTAACTGTTGCAATTTTCGCGTTCAACATTTAATTTAAATATTTTGAACTAATTCATTACCTTTTTAGGAGTTACTACAACCATTTCACCTTTTTTCCGAAGTGCCTAAATACGTGCCTACCGGTAACAATTTATTATTTCTAAATTCCAGTACTAGACTCAAGTGCATCTATTGGATATTTACCCGAGCTAATCAGTGTGGGTAATATGTTTATGTCTCTGTCTTTTATTAGTGATAATTGCCATTTTCTTTATTTTTCGAAGTGCCTAAATATGTGCCTAGCATATGTGGTGACCAAGCGCGTGCGACTGCCTTTAATACTACGTTTTAAATATTGTTATTGAGTTTGCCCGTTGCAATTTGCGTTTTCAACATTTAATTTGACCATTTTTAACTAATTAATTATGTTTTTAAAAAGTATTACGCCCTTTTTACTTTTTTTCTAAAGTGCCTAAATAAGTGCCTAAAAAAGTGCTTAATTTGCAAGTGCCTACTTTTAGTCCGTCTCTATGATTATGAAATTAAGAAAGCAAACAAAACCGTAGATAAGGGTTTAAAATGTACAGAATGTAAGATTTTGCCAAGAAGACTTACTGTACAGTATCAAACTTATTTCAAATTCGTTCTGAAATAATACAGTAATATCTAATATGGAATATTCAATGATTTTGATTTGGAAATGAAGCAAAATTGAGACAAACAATGAGTTCCCATTTGCTAAAGCTTCTAGAAATTAAATGGAGGCGTTCCAGTCACACTATTTTATAATAAAAAAATTTCTTGAAAGAGAAAAGAGCCATCCTTTGCGTCCTAACAAAGCGATTAATGGAAAGAATATGTACCCTGGTTGGGAAAAGTATAGATGAGACTTGCACCATACATAAATTTGGCGTGGTGGGGAGGTGCATTGAGCTGAGCGTTGAGAATACGCTCACCCCCACGCGTCTGATTACCCTGCGTAAGTTTGCAGATTTGAATCCAAAGCAGGGATAGTTATGTGTGAGAGGATTGCTGGACTTCTCGCCACAGAAAGGTGTTTTTCGTAACTCTGGTTTCTAACTATATTGTATGTTATGGAAAAATCACTATTCTCTGCACCAAATATTTGGCTCAGTGATGTGTCGCATTATGCTAAGCATTGAGAATATGCCTAAAATAGAAAGTCATATAGTAAACCTAGATTTTTCAATGGATTTATTTCTGAGCTTTTCAGGAAATTGACCATCCACGGAAAAGGTTCAGTCGCCGTATTCGGTCGGATGCGATGTCACAAACATGTGTAATGATGTAGCCTTGCAGCGACATTTTCCGTCTCTTAGTACTGAAATCATTCGGTTTGAAATCTTAAAGGTGTTCTTCGTGTTCAGTAATTTTTGTACTGTTTTTCTCTAAAGTTTCACGTTTTTGATAAATCATCCAATCTTTCTTTATATTTCTTTCTACCGATGTTATACTTAAAACGAACTATTTTAAATTACCTTGCAACAATTTTCTTGTTACTGTGGAAAAATTTATTTCTCCCGCAAATGATAGTGCAATTGCTTTAAATTTCCGAAGATGGAAAATGTCGCTGGAACGCTATATTATTCTTTACATATTTCAGAATTTTGTTGACTCTTATAATTCATTGACACATCTTAATATGACATTCGATACTCCTAACATCTGACTGGTATTTTGCTGTCATTTTTTTAGTGTATATATATTTGAGCATCGCCCTCTTATTTTGAATACTTTTCCATTCCAGAGCCTTCTATATATATAACATTCTAGTCATTTATAAATAAAACCAACAAAATGTCTCGTTCAAAGCAACCACAAGTTTTGAAGATCGACCCTCCTCAAGAAATAAAATTCAAAGGTGAGCATTGGAGCATTACTAGGCAGGATATTCTCCACCCGTTAAGATGACGTTAATGCTGTTGTGATATATCATAAATTCTGACATTAGAAGGAATATCATAATCCTATAAAAGATTGTTTTTAATTTTTGTCAGAACTTTTTGATCAATAATGGATCTTCTTTATCCTTATAAAAGAATAGATCCTTGATTATCAATGAAGATATGCTTCTTGTGGCATTACTGTCTTACGGCTTGCCATCATATCGCTGATTACCTTCTGCTAGATTGCAGATTTGAATCCCTTGAGGGATAATTATTTGCAAGAGAATTGCTAGACTTCTAGCCATTGTGTTGCGGTTCAAGTAACCGCTGGTCAGTTACAGCTTCCTCCACCATCAAGTCCATGCATCTGAAACAAATAACTAACTAATCCCATACTCGACATGGAGTGTCTCAGAGATTAATATAGAAACAAAATAACCAAACACTCTTTCTATCCAGGGCCATTCAAAGATGTTGTGACATCTACATTACAACTAACGAATCCTTCAGAGAAGCGAGTTTGCTTCAAAGTAAAAACGACCGCACCAAGACGATATTGTGTCCGACCAAACAGCGGGTTCGTGGAGAGTCAAGCGACTGTCAATATATCAGGTTTGTACTGTCAATAATAGCAAGGATAGATAATATTTAATAATTTGAACAATATAGTCCAGGGATGATAATGGCAAAAATGCATAATTTATCGTTTTTTTTGATAATTTTTTTGATTATGGGATGTCAAATATATTCTGAAAGGGTTTTTCGCACCCGAGAACTGTATATTACACAATACTTGGGGATTTTACAATCAAAGACAGAAAGAATGTAAACCCTACTCGGATATTTGCAATAGATTCTGAACATTTCAAAAAACAGAATACCCAATCAGGCCAGGAATTTTCAAAGATGGAGGGGGGGGGGGTCTGAGATTAATATTTGCCAAGTTAGACAGTAATGGCTGGCGAGTCCCGGTGGAGGTCAAAGAGTTCAAGTCTGAAGATCTAAAAAGAGTTTCAAGTTTTGGAAAAATGTTATGTGTGATGCAGAAAAATGGGGTTCCCGACCCAGAATTCTACGCCTTTAGGAAAATCGCATTTCGTGTTGTTTCGTAATAAAATTAATCGGTGCTCCCGAAGTATGCGAACCAAGATGGCGGACATCGGAACGTAACAGGTTAGGGTTAGGTGATAATTTTTTTCCAATTTTCCTTATTTTAGTCGTATTATCAGTTCGAAGACTAGCCAAGAGCCTCCCGTAGTATTTATACCTAAAATTATGGCCTAACCCAAACCTAGTACACATATTACATTCCGATGTCCGCCATCTCGCATACTTCGGGAGCCCCAATTAATCAATCTTTTGACATATTGTTACATCACTAATGTCACTAAATTGACTAGTGTTATGGCTAACTGAGGCAACTAGCGAAGTTGATTGATGTCTAAATTATTATTTGGCTTTCTATCTTTTTGGTCAGGAGTATATGCTAACAATATAGGCACCATAGAAAAAAATAGAATGCGGATTCTATTAGCCTGGAATGGCTATGTCTGATAACTAGGTGTTTGCACAATAAAAGCGTTCATTTTGTATCGCACTGTTTACCTATTCTTGGCACTATTGTGGCCCACGAACAATGCAAAAATAATTTGGTGGCCCGCGGAGCCGACAACCTTGGACCACCCTGCAATATACTTTTAATCTGGTCTTGCTTGACTTAGAATAGATTGTGCAATGAGTTTGAATTGAAAATGTAGGAAAGTAGTGAAGACTCATAGATGGTGATTCTCAAACAGTATGTTAGTGGATAGTCAGGTGATTCAAGAGTCCTGCTGCATACTAACACAAATGTATTTCTGTAACCTTTCATCTTACCGGGGTCAGAATTCTTCAGACAAGCATTTTTCAACTATGATAAGAAACACGATTTTATTTCTCTCTATTGAAAACAAACCCAATAATTGCTAAATGCTATTCATGTACATGCCATCGCATTTCTTATCGTAGTTGTAAAATGTTTGTCTAAGGAAAGTCAGGCCTCGGTAAGACAAAACGTTACAGAAATACATTTGTGTTAGTAAACAGCAAGATTCTTGAATCAAATAGTATAGTCATCTTTATTCTTGCTACAGCATCCTTGCGTTACACACATACAGGTCCACTTCCACAAAGGCATAGAGCAAGGAAAGGTGGTTATTCTTGCGTAACCTCAACTGATAGTTGCGTCAAGTGAATGCCAGTATTTCCGGTTTGTTCTGTTCTAATAGCCGAACCTACTAATGGACCTAAGGCTACCGTGATTAAAATAAATACAGCTTTAAAACCCATACCACGCTGTTCTATAATGGCAGAAGATTTATTCATCCTTTCTGAAAGATGTGACATGAGTTCGAAAATTCGTCGTAGGAAATATCAGCACAGGTATTTTAGCCGCATAGGAAAAAAGCATTTTGCTGTAAAACAAGTATTTGTGTTAAAAACAGTTAGGTGTATAGGGTTAAGGTATGCTCTTGAATAACGAATCTTTTTTAAATAAAAACGTACTTCAAAAACCTAGCTATTTTTACATATACTTGTTTTACAGCAAAATGATTTAGCGGCGATTATTCATGCAGAGAGATTTTTGCGACGGACTTTCCCAGAACAATGAGTTTTTTTGTTTCACTCTGGCGATATAACTAATTCTGATTTATTCCAATATTTTGGCACATTTATGATTGTTGGGTTTATTCAAACAGTGCTTAATGCTGTTTTATCACCCGGTAAAGCAAATGTCATCAAATCTTTAATCACATGTTTGACTCATTTATGATGACACAATATATGTTTTTATGACACTGCAAACTTAGTGTGTCATCACAATTCGGTTGTTTCAATGAATCAAGAATCAGATGAACCTGTGATTTTGCTAGAGCTACTAATACCAAGGCGAATGCTGTTTTTCGAAACATTTCAAGAATATTTTATTGTCATGAAATTTGAGTAGATTTATATCGTCTCTCAAATGCATGAATGTTCAATAATAAATTCTGAAAGTTTCATTTTTTTGAATGAAGAATGCATGTAACAGGCTGACCCCAAACATGGGACATATAATAGAGTAGTGATTCTCAAACTTTTTGAGTAGTGCCCCCTTTTTTAGAATTTGCCTCGCGCTTGACCTTAAAAATAACTAGCTAGCAATAAGCTATGAGTATCACATAGTAAGGTGAAAGTATGTTTTATTTGAAAAACATGTTAAAAATACGTGGATGATGGTAAATATCCAAAACAAAAAATATGGTGCTCCCGAAGTATGCGAACCAAGATGGCGGACATCCGAATGTAACATGGGTAACAGGTTAGGGTTAGGCGATAATTTTTTTCCAATTTTCCTTATTTTAGTCCTATTATCAGTTCGAAGACTAGCCAAGAGCCTCCCGGAGTATTTATACCTAAAATTATGGCCTAACCCTAACCCAGTACACATATTACATTCCGATGTCCGCCATCTTGGTTCGCATACTTCGGGAGCCCCAAAAATATAAAAACCCGAGAAAAGGTGAGCAAAATCGAATCTAACAACCTTTTTATTTTTAATTAGCATCACGCCCCCTCATAACGTCCCCACGCCCCCTCAGCGCACCCCATCATTTGAGAACCACCGTTCTAAATAGAGAATAACTTTTGTGCAGAGCGTCTTTGATTACTGAAATGTTTGTTCTTCATTCCAATAGAAGTAATCAAGAAATATATGGGTTATGTTTTTGTCAACTTGTTTTCAAATTTTCACTTTTTAAATTTTCAGTACTCGAAGATGGTTGAAGCCATTAGATGGCTGTTATTTTTACTTCGTTTTTCACCCAATCCTAGCTGATTTATTCTAATGTATAGAAACACTTTTTATGACGTGTGGAGGGTTATTAAAACCACTAGAAGACTAATATTATTTTTTTATTTTTCACCCAAACCTTAGTTGTTTTATTTTAATGTATGAGAACACTTTTTATGACATCTGGGAATACTTATCTAGGATATGGGAACACTTTTTATAACATATAGTCTTCTGACCTTTTTGGCAAACTCTATTTTACAAGTGCGTGACCTACACGTCTATATCCTTGAATATTTTTTTTTTTTTTAATTAATAGAGGCGACAAAGTAATTAATATATTGAGACAATTGTCACTTCAGGTGGCGATTGATTGCGGGTATTGATCTGTATTGATTGGTAATTCTTTGATTAAATATGCTTGCATATGCTGTATTCAAAGTAGCAGAAACGATGGCCAAAATCGAAGTAATTTATCATTTCAAATACATTCAATTAGACAAAAAGCATAGTTTCAATTCTGACAATGTGGAAAGAGGATTTTAATCACAATGGTTTTCTCAAACTTTCTTCAAATTTATTTGTTTTACATGGTCCTTTTTCAAATACATCGAATACTCCATATTCGAAAAAATTATTCAGAATGTATTCAAAATGGAAATTTTTTTGGGTTTTTTCGACTTATGTTCTGGGCCATAATCTTCAAAATATACGGTAAAACAGCAAAACATTTAATGCATTGACAAGAGCAAAAACATGTATCCATTAACCCATGTTCGAGCACCTTTTTATACATAAACTCTCAGATTAGGATTTTATGCCTGAACAGGGAAAATTTTGAGTGGCGACATGAGCCACACAGAATGAATGGCTTGGTGGGAGAGAGTCGGGAGGCCTCTTTCCAAAATGTGAAAAAACGAAACTTTTTTGTATCATTTATAGAAATTTTTGGTAGCTTGAACAGTTTTCATTTTTCATGTTCCTTTCTTTTTCAGTGATGCTTCAACCGTTTGACTCTGATCCAAATGAACTACTCAAGCACAAGTTCATGGTTCAAACAATGTTCGCACCTGATGCTGTTGATGATATGGAGGCTTTAGTAAGATTAAGCTGTAATTTTCTATGAGACCTTTCTGTACTTTGACAAGCAGGCGGGTTTTCAACCGGTCAACCGGATCCATCCTTCCCCGAGTGTAGAGTAGTTGGAAGGGGGCCACAGTGCTAGGCGCTAAACTGATTTTCCTTCATCAAAAGACTCTTTCTGGTTTCATTACTTGATAAGGTTATATTAAAAAACTGTCTGATTATGATTTTAGGCTTCATGATGAAAAATCTGAGTGTTGACAAGAGCCACACTGAATGGCTTGGTGGGTCGAGTGCTAGCCCACAGGTCACCTGTTGCACCCCTGATTTAAACTAATTCTAATTTTTTTTTCAGTGGAAAGAAGCATCCCCAGCTGATCTGATGGACTCGAAATTGAAATGTGTTTTTGAACAGCCAGAGGAGGTGAGCCTGCCTGTTTTATTTTATTACTTATCGATCTCGATCGGTGAGTATGTCGATAGGTATTTGTCTGTTAGATACAAGCGATATCTCACGAAAGCGAGGTTGAATCTGCTCCAAATTTTGCATGTGCATTCATCATATCTCGGACCAGAAGCCTATTGATTTGGATGAATTATGTCGTATAATTAGCGAGGTATTAATTAATTAGTGATGCGACACGTGGTGTCGCTGTGGAGTAAGAGCGGAGGAGTCGAAACCGCAGTTTCTGTTTTGGGGGATCCCCTCACTTTCGATCGATAAGTCTTCGATCTCCAACCAATATTCTCGTTAAGAACTTTATTAAGGTGATTTTGGTTTCGTTTTTTGGGCCAATTGAATCTAAGAATCTTTTTCAAAAAGCTGTTTCTGTACTTGCAAAGGTTGCTGCAACAAAGAGTTAAGATTACTAAGTGATTGCTTTTTTATAATAACGAGAAGCATAATGTAACAATCGGGGTTGATTATGACATTATTTCATCAATATTTTCAACGGAAATCTATATTAATAGAAACTCGCAATTTCAGCGGATACAAATGGGCTAAATGCACTTCGGTGGGCTGGATGCGGTCTGCGGGCCGCTACCCGTCCCTATTCAAAATTACCTTTGTTATTTTTTTTCAAAACATTCTTTTATTTTATCCGAATGCAGCCTATGGATATTAATATAGAGGTTTGTATTTTCTTAATTTGTTCAAAGTAAAAATGATAATTTTCTATATTTGTGTCACATGTTTCATGTGCACATTTCAGAAACCACATGATATTGCACACACACGCAATTCACATACAAATAAATTAGACATAACCTACATAACACATACACTTGTATTAGACGCACAAAAAATGGTGCTCCCGTAGTATGTGAACCAAGATGGCTGACACCGGAACGTAGTATGTGTACCAGGTTAGGGTTAGGCCATAATTTTATCCAATTTTCCTCATTTTAGTTCTATTACGAGTTCGGGGACTAGACAAGTGACTCCCATAGTATTCGTACCTTAAATTATGGCCTAACCCTAACCTGGTACACATACTACGTTCCAGTGTTCGTCATCTTGGTTCACATACTTCGGGAGTACCAAAATATTTACACATGAACAATTCACAAACACATGCTCAAAATTCACACACAAGCAATTTTCACATACACATAAAATCCACACAATTCCCACATACTACAATTTATTTTCAGACTCCCCAGACCCCAACGAGCACAAGTGACGTCATGGGAACCCCCCAGGGAGGAGAATCGGGCTCGGAACTTCAGTCGATCATGGAGGAATGCAAACGACTGCAATCAGAGAACGCAAAGCTCAAACAAGTCAACGAACAACTCAAGGTTGGTCGACATTTAGTTTTTCTTCTTTCGTTGGGATTTTTAGTGAGTAATGTATATCCTCGCACATAAGTCAACCCCCTGAAACGGCCTTAAAGCGTTGAATTTATGAAAATTTGAGAAATATGAAAAATACAACCAATATTTTTATGTTTTACTTTAATTAACAACGGTAAGAAGTGTTTCAAAATCCTTCAAAATTATCCTCGCTAGCACTGTTGAACTCTTTAGTACGATAAGAATTATGCTCGTATAAGCCAACCCCTCAGTTCGGCAACTTTTATTTTTGAGTTTAGAACTACACTCCACTCCCGTCCAGTTTATTATCCAAACCTTTGATGTTACAATGCCCCTAACTGATAGCTTGTGAGAAGCGAACAATGCATGTCATAAAATGACTCTCCAAACTTTTTGTGCTTGCTACTACTAGAAAGCGTAAAGGTGCGGCTCGCAGTTTCCGCTCATTACTTATCGATCTTAAGATCGGTAAGTATGTTGATAGGTATTTGTCTGTTTGTTTGTCTGTTAGATGCACGCGATATCTCACGAAAGCGATCTGCTCCAAATTTTGCATGTGCATTCATCATAGCTCGGATCAGAAGCCTATTGATTTTGGATGGATTATGTCTTATAATTAGCGAGTTATTAATTAATTAGTGATGGGACACACGGTGTCACTATGGAGTAAGACCACTGTTTTGGGGATCCCCTAACTTTCGATCGATAAGTCTTCGGTTTCTAACCGATATTCTAGTTTATTTGTATCTGGCCCTCATGTATTAAAGGTTGCACACACCTTCCTTAGCTTGTCCCATGTTGTAAATTCCATATTACTTCGAATTTTGTTGGTGTTGAAAAATGTCATTTATGAAAAAAAAATTGGGCGCTTCGGAAGTATACGTACCAAGATGACGCACGACCTAAACCCTAACCAGATAAACATACTATGTTCAGGTTGTGTGGCATTTTGGTACGAACATTTCGGGAGCCCCAAATATTTTAATTCCTTTCTGTTATTTATAGTTCGTTCCACCTTTTCCAGGGTCAACCAGGTTCATCAGGTGACGGACAAGATCTTCTCTCCCAGCAGAAACGAATGATAATTATTTTCCTTCTAGTGGCATTCGTAACCGGAATTACACTCGGATATATTTTATCTTAAATCGGACTCAAATTACGGGGCTAGTTCTGCAGTTTTTCATTTTCTTGCTGGAAATGTTACGCCTGTCTGTGTTTTCACGGGAGGACACTAATTTTAATGTGATTTTGCATTTAAATTTACTCAAAAAAGTGAAAAAAAAACTAATTTTTTTTCAAACTAGGATGATTATTGCAGCCAGAATATTATATTTCACATTCAGGTAATATTTTATCCCACACAGAAATAATGAACGTTCCCATATAATTAAATAAATATTAGTGTGCCCTTTTAGAAATTCATGCTCTCATGTATTTATAGTTGTAACATGTTAAATCTATTGTACAATTGTTTTAATTATCCCTGGACCATATATGTTCAAGTGTAATTTTGTTACTGATCTCATATTATCAAATGGTCTCTATATGTAGCCCTAATATGTCAGTGGTAATTCTTCTAACAGAAATATTTCAACTATCGATATTAGGGAGACATTTTGTTATAACAGAAGAGGGAATTATATTAAGGTGACATACCGATACCGGTGGGTTACTTGTGAATCTTCTATCATAAATCTTTAAACTATAATAATAGGGAGACATTTTTGTTACAATAATGATTGTCATATTAAGGTGACATTTTTTTGGCAACAAAATGATATGTACCCCTAATGTATCTGTAGCTAATTGTGGTCATTTTATCAGGAGTACAACATACGAACTTTAATATTAGGGTGACATCTCTATATGTCCCCCTAACCTATAAGTGGTAACCTGGGACTTCTTTCAGTAATATTTAGACTTTTGAATTAGGGAACATTTTTGTTGCAACCAATCTAAATGTGGCTCATGACTACCAGTAATGTTTGAACTTGGTTAGGGTTATGTATCTGTCTCAACAAGTCAATGCGTACCCCTGATGAATAAAATGTAATTCCTTCCAGTGATATTCAAATTTAAAAAAATAGAGGGGGACCTTTTTGTCTCAACAAAGTATATGTACCTCTGAAATGTGTCAGTGGCAACTAATGAATCTTCTATTCTTAACATTTGTACTTTATTAATATGGAGACATTTTTGTCACAGCAAATCTATATTTTTATGATAACTGGGGAATCATCTATCAGTAAAAGTTGAACTTTTGGATTTAAGGCGACAGGGCACAAACATGTCAAGTGGGATCTTATGAGATATCTGTTGGCAGAAATTTTTATGTATCTCTAATATGTGTGGCGACTCACGACACGTCTACCATTAATGTTTCATCTCTAAATTTGTGTTGGTGGATTACTAAAAAACATAGAAATTTTCTTGCTGGTTTCGACCCTACTAGTATTACAAAAAAGTCTGGCTTCGGTCAGACGAACAGTACATTGAATATATCGCGAAATAAGACTCTTGAAGTACTTGGGCCATCTGCGTCATCCTATTTTTTAGAAGACATGGAGTTGTCATAGTGTGACCTTGCTTTGGGCTAAGTCGAATCAATTCTGTGACAAATTGTACAAAATGCTAATCCAATTATTTAGTTATTAATATTAATCCATATTTTGCAATCTTTTCATCGGTTATTATCTTTTGTTATTTCTGTCGTAAGGATAGACACATATATAGCTATTGGCTAATCAGTAGATTCTCGCATTTCCTAACAGTTTCCTTGCAGTCTTGACTTGTTTTAAGTCACGACCGCTGACTTTTGCAAGGATAACCCTATAAATAGCTTATGTACAAGTGGTTGTTTGCAACTTTTGTATCAGTACTCTTTCCATCTTTGACTAACTAGATTTGAACGTGTCTAAAAAGGGTAATTCGCTTTCAATTTTATAGAAATGCACAAATTTGAAAAATCTTTTACTGAACAATATTTCCGTATGGAAATATTTCCAATCAATTCTGGCTAAATTTGTTTTCTGCAACTGAAATATTTTGTTTCGGCATGGACATTTTTGTCAATCAACTCTTGGATCTGAACTATTCTTTATCATTTCGATTCATACAAATTTTGTTGTCAAATTATTTGATGCATTTAATATTTCCATTCGAAAATATTATCTAAGGCTGCAATCAGAATATTAGGCTATCCGATTGCTTCAGAATGTATTTAAAATACGACATTATTCATTATTTTTGATATATACAGTGTCTAAAAAGTCTCAAGTTTTTTAATATTTAAAGGTAATTTTTCAAATCCATATATTGTTTTGGCCCTCACAGATGTATTAAATGAAGTGAAATTACTTGAACAATTACTGATTAAAAACAACAAACCTGGATATTGAGAACTAACTTCATAACAAAATTGTAATTGTAAAGGGAACTTCATGGACACCGTGTGTACACCCCTAAAGTGCCCCCGAACAAATACCCAAAAAAATTGACATCCAACTATCACTTTGTTTATGTTCTTTATTCTATTTGTGGTTTTGTATAGTTTTGCTTGATTTCCCTGGTGGTGAGGGTGTTGGTAACCGTTGGTTACCATTATGAAGTATATTTGGCATTGATGGAAATATCACGGCAAATTGAGTGATTGGGATATTCCATTTTGAAGACACATACTCTTTATTACAGTGGTTTCCAACTGAGGGCCACAGGGCAATTGGAAAGGAGCCACGGACCTTCAGAAGTATGGACACCAAGATGGCGCACAACCTGAACATAGTGTTGTGTACTGGTCAGGATTCAGGTTGTGCGACATCTTGGTGCGCATATTTCTGGAGCACCAAAGCTACAGCGCTTGGTGCAAAACTGCTACAAAAAACTCCTCGTTTCTCCTAGTTTCACCGCTTGAAGTGATTTTCTAAATCAAAAAAAATTCATTAACTCAGCAATGTTTCCAAATTTATTAATTCATTGTTCATCATTTTTCTAGTTTAGTTCTTAGTTTTCCCAGTGTTCATTCTCAGTGAAGTTTTTATTATGCTATCCTACTTGTATAGTCTGCTTTGTTCAGACACCTACTCTAGAATTTAAAATAACATTCGCCTTCAAGTTGATAGTTTAGACTTATATGTTCCTCAAAATAGTTTTGACTCAAAATAAATCCCTCAATCGGAAGACACGAGTGTACCAATAATAAATTGTCATGGAATCAAGCCCCTCCATAGTCTCTGCCTACATTTTCCTGCCTATGTATCATACTAGTTGTAATTCCACTAAAGCGTGCAAAATTGTAATATAGACCCACATGCTACGTTACATGTTATTTGAAAAATAAATTTAAAATGTTAAATATATAGTTTTTTTTTTGACGGTCTTTAGTCACACAGGAAGACAATTCGAAGTGTTGTGCAGAGCCTCGTAAAGACAGATTTAGCTGTGTTTCATAATTTGGGTTTGAACCAAGAGCGTAGCCAGCTCCGAACAAAGCCAGATCAAAATAGCAACTGATATCTGACACTGACAATATCTCGGAGAATACCTTTTCAGACTTACTTTGCTGTCGAAGTTATCCAAGGCCTATCTCATTTGGTGAAAGCATTACTGATAGCAAACAGGAAGCGTCCGATTTTCTGTAAAACGTTCAAGAATAAAGCAAAACTGTGACAAAAAAGGCGTATGAATTTAAGTCTTACTGCAAATGCCACAAAATTGCTTTAAAACATTTTTTCAATTCGAAGGGGAGCCTTGGCTACACCTACGGTTCAACCAAACCTCTGGAGTTCGAAGAAGGTCCTCCGAAATAGTTATATATCATTCTCATAATTGTGTAAAAATGACTATAATGCACCGAAAATATCCGAACTTCAACAATATGAAATAGCTTAACTACGATAGGATTTATCCCGAGGAAAGAAAGCCATTAGGACAGCTTAATCATCTTGCATGCCACAGACTCTGGTCCGGATACCAGTCTATGTCGTGTATCGGGTACCTGCGAACCCATGCGGGGTTATCAGAGATGCTGTGACGAGCATATTCCTAACGCTTAACGCGATGTGCCACACGCGCAAAGCTAAGTCGTGTGGATATAAGTTTCATTGGTGTTGGCGGTTAAACCTCAGATCCAAGTTTACTATCTCGACAACTGTATTTATCGTTACAGCTGTACCGAGTGCACTTCTTTATTTATGACGGCGTTTTAAATGCTTTATGCATATTGCTTCAAAATATCGAAGGTTGTTATGAAAAACCTCGGGTATTCAAGCTCAATATTTGCGTGAACGCCACGTAATACAAAATAGTTCATTTGAGTATAAGTACAGACACAACGCAACACACCACCCCCGTTTTAACTGTTCAAAACGCTAGGATTCGACGAAAGCTTGCAGAGTAACGTAGTCCTGTAGGTTAAGCAGGTTCACGAAGGTTATGAACCACTTCTCTAGTAGATTGTAAAGGACTAAAGGTACTCATGTAAATCCTAATCTCAGCATAAGCTCCAGTTGTTAAGATTGAATAGTGATGATATGAATCGTCAGAGACGATGACTAATTGCTTCATCTATCGGTGAACGGACGAAAAATCTTGATCCACCATAGCAAAAAACACATTTCTGGCTGACGTAAATGCCAGTTGGCGAAGAACACAGATAGCTAAGTGATACACATAAACAGGTTAGAACAGCGGTGGGCAAGGATTTTGGACCGGGGGTCAAAAAATTTACCCATCTTGACTGGCGGGCCATGTAAGTGTGACATAAAAGTTACATTTTATGAACAGAATTTTATTTACAGTGTTATGAATGCAAAATTGGAAAACAATAAGCCTCGTGCCAAACCTAAATTTAATCGATCAAAGTTGGGTACACAGTCTGCGATTTCAATAACAACAACTATGTAGCGCATATAGAAATAGTTGAAAACATAAATCCAAATCATCCAACGGACCGGATTTGGCCCGCGGGTCGTAATCTGTCAATGTCAGGGTTAGAGAATTGCCGAGTATAAGGTCCGTCACGATAGATGTGAAATAAACATGACAAGCCGACATTTCATCAACGATAAAGAGTTTGTTCAACAACGATTTTTTAATTTAGTCCTAACATGTTGAGACATGGGCCTGGATAGAACAATGACGTTCATCAGCAATTTATACTTGTGAAACTTGAGATCCTGGGAAAATTTTTGAGCTCATTAGACACGAAATGTAGATATGGATCGTTTGGGGGTCGAAAAGCTCATCTTGTTCGGTTACCAGTCCACGACGGGTATGGGATTATTTAAGCCAGTTAATTGTTTTTCAAATGCATGGACTTGATGATAGGGAAAGCCGTTACCGACCGGTGGAGAGGAGTCCAGCAATCCTCTCGCACATAATTTACCCCACGGATTCGTACCTGCGAACCCACGCAGGGTAATCAGAGGTGCGGAGCGTATTCCGAGCGCTCAGCACGATGCGCCACACACTTCTTTTTATTGTTGTGGGGAAAAAAAATTGGTTTTTAGACTATGCTCGCCCTCTTCGTTTTCTCTACACCTTGCTGACTTGTTTTCATTTTTTTGTGCCAAGTGTCGCCATGTTTCGTGGCAGGGAAGCGAAAATAGATGATCAATCGATCGACTCAAATGAGAATTTAAAAAATCTTTTTTATTTTCGCGCTAAAGTTTTTCCCACAAAATGCCCGTTTACTCAACAGAAAACCGACCTGAAGTAACCTCTCGTTGTATTTGTTTTGTATTCCAACGGTTGTTCGGAAGCAACGTGCAAAGGCGGCAGTTTGGAAAATGGGCGGTGCAGTTAGCATTCAGATCGTTATTAGCGTTTATTTATGCGTTTGATAGTTAAAGGGATTTCGTTGAAACGCCAAAGTCAGAAAGTGTAAAATCCTCAAGATAGGCCCATATAGATGGGGTGGCTGGGGTTCATTGCTGGGGAGGTCTCGTGAGTAACTCGTCTCGGGTTCTCGGCTGTGTGGCGCATCACGCTAAGCGTCGGAAATACTCTCCTCTAATTACCATGCTGCGTGGATATTGGGACCATAACATGATAGTACTGTAAGCATTCGCTTATTGCAGTATTCAGGTATTGCGTAATTGGAAAGTCAGTTTAATCAATTATTCACATTGTTTACCCCTCTAATGATAATATTTCAATGGAGACAGGTTCAATAGTCAGGTAGTGCAGTAGTGATAGCCTATTTCGCATCAAAGCGCAAAGCGGGTATTTCTTCTCTGTTAGTCGTTTCCCAAAGCGATCACGGACACCACTTTGGAAACAATTGTTCTAGCACAGTGTTTCTCAAAATATGGATCGCGATCGTTATTTCAGATCATTATTAGCGTTTATTTATGTGTTCGATAGTTAAAGGGATTTCATTGAAACGCCAAAGTGGTTTGCCTGAAAATTTTCTTGGGTTACTTGCAAAAACTAACAGTTACTAATTTCATTTGTAGTGAATTTTATTGCTTATGCTATTATTAGTATTGAAGCATTGCTCAATGATAATTGCTGCGTAAAAAAGCATTTATTTTGCTTATGTAAAGCCATGCGTCAATTGCAAAAACATGCAAGTGCTAGAACACATAATTTTCTCACTTTGAAATAATTTCTAGGGGAAATGAATATTATATAAAATTGATTGTATTTTATATTCATTTAAATTTGCTCATAAAAGCATTACACGTTTAGTATTTGAGCATATCTTTGGGTTGCGAAAATATTTCCAAATTAGGTCTCTCCAGCTCTTGGAAAGAATGGTTGAGAACCAGTGGCATATCTACGTAAAATGGTGCCCATGGCAAAGTCTAAAAATGCACCCCTAGATAGTTGTTAGACAATTTATAATGTTTATTATTGAATAGAGATACTTGCACGTTATTATTTGAGTGAAAATACGAGTTGCAGTTATTCCCAATTTCAAATTATTTCATTGAAACTTTTTATAATTAATACTTTTTGCGGTTTTGCGACCCTGTTCAAACATCGCCCATGGCACGAGCCATGGCTGCCACACCCTAAATATGCCACTGCTTTAACACAGCAGTTCACAAAGGGGGTGCTTATCAACAGAATAATACAGAAACAGTTGTTTTATGATTGATATAATAATTTTCTCAAATTTAGTTTGAAATGTAGTTTATCTTGATAATATGGTTTCCTATCAACAAACTGCTTCTGTCAGGTCCGACATGGCGACTGAAGTTGGACAAAAAATGGAGGATGGTATGGATGTAGTATCTGAGTACAACATGGCTGACAATATGGATAATTCAAAATTTGGAAAAAATATGACGAATGATATCAAAGTTGGACAAAACATGGAGGATGAAATGGATAAATTACTGGAAGAATTTTTGATGCCCCCTCCTGAGGGTACACCTCGTAGTTTTGTTCTGAGAAATAGTTTGGAATCACTGAGGGTAAGAATAACTAAATTGCTATAACTGACAAGTTTTCGAATAAAATATCAAAATTGATTCTGATATCAGGAATTCGTAACATTATTATATATGTTTGCTTTTTTTCATCATAATTGAGAATAAAATTCTGGCTTCTGACTCTTAGTAAATCAGACCAGGAATTTTCAAAGGGGGGTTTCCAAATTTCTAATTGCCAAGTTAGATTTTATCAGTTAGCTTGTCCGAGTCTTGAGGTCTAAAAAATATTTTAAGCCACAAAAAATTACTACAAAAAATGCTTTTTTCACATTTCAAAAGTAGGGGGTTCTCACCCTGGCAACGACTCTGAATCAAACTCAGGAGTGTTCAAAAATATGACTCCGACTCAGAGAAAACAAATCAACTAATTAACTGTATTTAATCATAATTCCAGGAAATTTTATCCTTAATCATGATTGAAACTCTGAAATTCGACACCCAACTCTGGAGAATTCAGCAGCCCCCTTTTGAAATGATAAATAACATTTTTCTGTAGCACAGGCCTACATAGCTTGAAATGCATTTTAGACCAAACGCATTTTAGACTCTCAAAACTCTTGACCCGCTTGACTGTTTCAGTCTAACTTGGCATTTAGAAATTTCACCCTTCCCCTCTTTAAAATTTCCTGGCCACACCCCTTCATGGATTCAGGAGTACGACTCCAGTATAACAGCCCTGCTTATGTAGATTGGCTATTATTATTAAGCTCTATTGAAATACAATTCCCAAAGCATTTTTTTAATATTATATGTTTTTCAGGATGCAAGCAGCACCAGTCTTGATAGGAGCGGTAATTCATCATCAACGACGGGAAGTTGGAATTCGTCTTGCAGTTGCCACTCGATGTCATCTCTGAGTCAATCAAAGTCGGCCTTCGTTTTTCACAAGCAAGCGATTTTGCCTCCTTTGGTGAGAAAATAATTTTTATTTTCATCCGATTCTTTTTAAAAGTTATTAGTATCTAATTTCACTTATCTCATATATATATATATCAATATGGGATAGGATTTACATATTTATCCCAGGGAGAAAAAAGCTGATCATATGGTAAACCATGGCTTCTCGTCCGATTATTTGTCAATGTCGGGTATGGGGTTAGTTAGCCAGTTATTTGTTTGAGGTTATGAAGTGCCACAAATGTGATTTAAAAATTAAAGTGAAATCTTTGTGAATGTCTGGTAATAGGTCCAATATCATTATTTAGCCTTTCATCTTTATTTTTTCTAGCTGTGTTCCTCATCGCGGACTGAGATGAAAGTTTATAAAATGAAAGCAGTAGAGCGTGAACAACGACGCAAAGAGAAAGAAAAACAACGTTTGATATCGAGAGTCGAAGCAATTCTGTCAAGTGTTGAGGTGTGTGTTTTTCACTTATTTTCAAATAGAAATATACCATATTTGCGGACCATTGAGCGCACTTTAAATCCTCTTTTTTTCTCAAATTGCTTCTCAGTGCTTCATGCTTTACTGCCTACAGTCGAAACCAGTACCAGTAATATTGTTTTATAAAACTGCCAACTTCAACTTCTCAAAAATCGTTGCGACTTGTAGTCCAATGTGCCTTATCATGTATCAATATAAAATCCAACCTGAGCATTTTTTTAGCAGTTTGCCTTATGCTCCGTGAAATACGGTGCTGTTGGCCCAATCATGTTAAAGCCTGGTTTTGCTATACAACTCAGAAATTATGTTGAATACGCTGATTTTACTTAAATAGAGTGTTAGCCTTGTTTAGAGTGAGAGGAATGTAAAACATTGCATAAAAATGCACTTTCATGACCGCAGCCCAATAAAAAATAACAAGTTTTAAAAGAAGCATTCTGCCGAATCGCGTATCTGTTCAAATTTTTCTGATAAAACTATTTTAAATTATCCCTAAAGTCAAGAATTTAAAATATTGAGTATGACCTCTCTTTTTATGCAGGTCAGTCCAATGAAAAATAAGAAGCCTCTTATCCAATCAATCAAGGAATCACATACCATTTCAGTACAACCCAGCAATATTCCGCAGCAGAACTTCAATCAGCTGGATAATGCTATCGATACTAATAGTGACAGAGATCTTCAAAATGTGAGTGATGTCATCAGTAGTAGTCATGACAAACAATGCAGTGATGATGAAACAATGCAAAGTGAAGATGACATCACACACAAACAAAACCTTTCAAATTGTGACATCACTGAACAAAATAATAGTCATGAAAATGACTTTACTAATCACCATGACAACAATGATACAGAAAATTCAGAAAATACCAGCGATCACCATGGCGACAGTGATGATGTCGCTAGTTCCGATGACAATGCAGCATATCGTTCCAGCCTACGAAATTTACTGCAGAAATCCATGAATCTCAGTCAGAGTGGAATAGTAAATTCTCCTTGCCAAAGTAAGACGGAAACAGTGGAAAATATCGAGCAAGGTTTGTATCTTATTTTCATTATGAACCATTATGAAGCTTGGTTCTGCAGAGACGGTCGAAATCGAATATTTCACTATTCCGAATACATTGTGAAAGAAAAACCACCCAAACAGTTGCAAAAACACTGAAAAACCACCAAAAACCTTATAAAAACGTGCAAAAAATATGAAATATCAAATAGATTGTAAATCGGGGGCATATTCATATGGAAAATTACATAAATCACTATATCTTCATGTTGATCCCATCTAAAAAGACATGAACATAAAAATTATTGGTTTCTCTGTGTTGTTGTTATCTGTTGAGATATTATATGTTTGATATTAATAAAAATGTTCAAAATTGTCCCTAAATACTTTTTTTTTTTAAATCGAATATTGCCGGATAAGAACAGAACACGCCTAAGTCACAATTTTGAGTTTTGAGAAAAACACAAAAAACAATTTGGAATTTTTTTATTTTTGAATTTTCAGATATTCACACTTAGTAAAGACCTGAGCTCTGGTTATTTTAATGTGGATGTGAATATTTTTGTAATCAATATTTTTTGGCACTTCAGCTTCAATTCCTTCCTGCTTTTTTACCCCCATAAAAGATTTTGGCCCGTTCTGTTCTCAACAACTTCTGAAATTTTTTGTATGGGATGCAAGGTAAAACAAGGTGACTTAGGCCTAAGTGGCACTGGAGAAATTTTTAGGGATGTAAGTTTTGGACATTTCATTTCTGATGTTCATGCCCATTATATTGGAACTTAGGACTATCTTTTTTCAATATTTTAGGGTTTTGAGCCATGCTCTACAAGGTGGTGGTCTTGAAATCCTGAATTTGTGGTGGTCCTGAAGCTGGACTTAGGCCTATTTTAGTCCTAAGTCCAGCTAAAATTTTTATTATTGAGAAATTCAGGATTTCAAGACCACCACCTTGTAGAGCATGGCTCAAAACCCCAAAATATTGAAAAAAGTCAATTTTCCAAAAACCAATATTGAATGTATTCGAATATTTGATTCGTTTTTGACATTTCTGCTTTAAAAACTAAACAAACAATCCAATATTAATAATTGATTTTTGATAGTTCATTACACTTTGCATCCAAAATGTTTCTATTTTCAGTTTAGCTTTAGAACCTTTTCTCTAAACAAGGCTTCAACAAGCAATTACTTGAGTGTTTGATATCAATAATTTCTCAACGAGTTAAGTTCAACTCAAAGTGGAAAGAGTATTATTATAAGATTCAAGTTAAGGGCTATGTATAGATTCATTGTTAATATTTTGCCAGTGAAGAAGATTTGAAGTGTTTTAGGACAAAAAGAGGAATGTTGAAATTTGAATCTAAAATTTGAAACTATTTGAAGAAATGCTATTTAAATTGGTTTTTCATCATTGTTTGAAGCAGTATTCACCAAAGTATTTCAATAAAAAGTTACAGGAGTTCGAAAATCAAAATTAAACATTTTACCCATTTTTCGATTACTTTTGTTACATCTGAGCAAATTTTTGAATTTCAAACTGACTTTACCTGAAGTATAGTATTAGCATAAAGTCATATTGTTACTATTAGTCACTGGGCAAGTTTTTATAATACAACTTTGAGATGCTCCCATCATCAACTAAATACTTTATCTCATGTCAGTAAAGAATATAGAAACTAAACTGTATTTACAGTTGTCTTTTTGGGCTTGGAGCTCTTATATTGTCAACAGTCAAAATTCTCGGTCATTCATTCAGCCTATTTTTTCTAGAATCGGCAACATCTACCAAATCCAGCTCAGAAAGTGACGCTGACATCACTGAGAATGCAGTCGTAGAAATGAAGGCAAAAGAAGACAAAATTTTCGGCCAAAATGAGCAAAAGGACAAAAATACCCCCGATTTTGCCTCAAATGTACTTAAAACCGAAGAGGCAACCCAGAACGACTCAAATTTTGTCCCAGAATCTGAAAATTTGAGTCAAGAAGACATTTTGGTCGAGTCCATTGTTCAAACTGCTATAAAAGATGCAAAAAATCAATTAGACAATGAGAATTCTATGAAACCATTATCACCAAACAATGATAATTGTGATGTCGAGAATGATAGTATATTATTTCTCAACAATCAACTTAATGACCTCATAAAACAAAATAAAAAAATCATCCCCAGAGTTGAAAAAACAGACAATTCACTTCCCAAAGATATTAGCGATGAAATTTCATCATGGGAAACCCCCAAAATCACAAAAGTTTCTGAAAAAACCGAAATCAGTCCTCTGAGTGTGACTGATTCACAATTTTTCGAACTTCACAATCAAAGTACGTCAACAAAAGTAAATTATCCACTAGATGGAGTTGGAGAGCAAATTCCAGATGGGGGTTTAGAAACTTCGAACTATTCTAACAAAATTAAAATCGATTCCTCCCCAATTTTGCCAAACGAGACTGAAATAACCAATCATAATGAAATCGTGGAGTTACAAGGTGAATTTTGTTACAAATCTACAATCATTGAAGCATGTCCAGTTGCTGAGGAAACGGTCAGTGAAGTGCAACATAATTGTGATGATGTCACAATTACAGATGACCTCACAGTTTTAAAACCTGTGATGTCAGATACTGTTAGTGATGTCACAATGACTATAGATGATGAGACAATGAAGGAAAATTGTGATCCAACAATGGAGACTGGTAAGAGGTTACTGTTGTTGAATTTCGAGCTCCCCACGAATTGTTTATGTATTGCTGTATACCAGTGCACGTATCATACATAGCTTTAATCAACTTCGGCCTGACCGGTCAGCTGTTACGGCTCCGCAATTAAAAAATTTTGAATTCCTGCAAGCGCCCCTGCCTTCGTTGCCAACATAGTTAGTCCTAACGTCCATTGTTGACAGAAAAGGTTTTCTCTTTAGGTTCTCTCATTTCGATTAAAAGAAGTCTCTCCTTCACGCTCGACCAGCCATCGCCTGAATTCGAGTCCGCAGTTATTGAAGCAGTTAGTCAGCATTTTCATGGAAATAAAGATGAAGAAATGATGAATAAGCATTTACTTGATGCTGTGGGGCCTGTTCTTGGTGGGATTCCTTTTTGTAATAATTTCTTTGTTGTTATATATTCAAATAATCAATTAAGTGGCTTTTGGCAAAAAAGTGCCCAATCCAAGGTCACATACATTCGCTCAGAAGTAATGAAGACTCATCTTTGAGCAATGTACGCTACCACTGAAATGCCCAGATCTGCTTTATGAATTCTATGGAGTTATGGTGGGGAAATATGCACTCACTCAGAAGAGGCTGATATCACTGTGTGCCTACACAGAGCCCTGTTGCCGGTGATAGGGTGAAAACGCAGATAATGAAAGAGAAATTTTTCAAATTATTTTTACTTTCAGAGATCGACAGCAACGCACCCTTGGATGAAATAGCTGTAGCTAAAAGGAAAATGATGCTCCAACAACGCGTCAGACGAGGATCTTACACACTAGAGGAGCCATCACCTTACTTGATTAAGAATAAAGAAAAACTGATGTGAGTAAATAGAACAGATTGCGCTCCATTGCCATTAAGTTGGAATAAAAGTCCATGTCCCTGAAAACAAACAACTGGCTAACTAATCCCATAACCGACATGAAGTGGTAACCGGATGAAGTTGGGGGTTGCCATATGATTGAGCTGTCTTACCAGCCTCTTAACTCGGAGTAATATCTCCTATCCTAATATTTTGAGAAAAAATAATAACTTCGGTCAGCCAGCTTTATTTTTTTTTTAATATTTGTTGCAAGACTTTCGGGTCGAAACGAAATACAATCGTCTCAGGCAGTGGTTTTCAAATGGTGGGCGCCTGAGTCTCATACCTGATTATCTCATTTTGTCTGGGATAAATCTTATCCTTTTCTTCTAACAGGATCGCACCAGATAATTTCGACAATGATTTCTGCTCCGAGACGATGACAACAAGTACAGGAGACGTAAAGAGGAAGTTAGATCTTCCTTCTGATTCTGAGGAAAGTTCAATCAGTGTCAAAGGGCAAAGGTCAAAAGTCATGAAAGGAAATGTCAGCAAAGCAGGTAACTTGCAATGGCCTGGTGCAGTGTCATCCCACTCGTGGCCCGCCAAAGGGTTTTGAGTGGCCCGCGCGGTATGGCCGCAGCCCGATGTTTTTCACAAATCTGAGCCAATATCAGAACCTCTTTTTCGTTAAGCTAGAAGAGGCATTCATGACCTCAATATTTGACAGCGCTTACTTGTACAAGCAGGCTTTGCTACATCATCCATCGCACCGAATATTGATAAAGTTGTAGGATAAAAGCAGTGCCATACTTCACATTAAAATATCTATGTGTGATAAAAACTTTTGACTTTACTGTTTCTTTATATTTTAGTTGTTCTTATAATTTCAGTGTGAGGTTTTGATTGTTTTTTCATTAACCTGTAGTCACTGGTCGACCCTGGCCTAGTGGTTGCTTTGAATGAATTCTTTCAAAAAATTTTTCTTATTTCCTTCTCCTTGCCCTTACAGAACTCCATGTCGCCAACTTGTGTCGAGTTCTCCAAGACCAACACAAACAACAAATGAACGAAATGAAACGGAAACATCAGGAGCAATTGATGAACATACAGAAGGTGAATGATTTGTGATTAAGGAAAAAATTAGAATTGTTTTTCTTTTTTCAACCCGATTGTTGATCTCACTGTCTCTCTCTCCTGCCAAATTACTTGAATGTCGAGTCGTTCGACTGTAAATAGCAGTCTACAGCCCAAGCGGGGGTTCGTGGCCCTCCCAATGGGCCATAGAGAATTTGAGGGCCCACAATGCTAGACGCAAAACTGATTTTTCTTTTCACTTTACAAGAAAACTCTTGTTCTTTCCAGTTTCAATGCTTGATAAAGTTCCTTCATAAGGTGTTTCATTTTGTTGAGCATGAATTGTTTGGACATAATGGAATATGGAATCTACCAATCAAAATAACACTCTAAATACCACTGGAATGATAAACAGGGGGGCATGAGGGATAAAAGCCCCCAGTTAAGGGGGCCACGAGCCATAAAAGGTTGGGAACCACTGACACAACGAATCACACTTATTCAATCGCTGTAGCCTGTACTTATCCTTGGCAAAGACCTTCAAACATTATGTTTAATCCAGGATTAGGAATTTGCCAGAAATATTTTACGCCTAATTGCATGGGATTATTATAAGCTTTCAATGGTGATTATTCTGCCAATAAAATAGAGGATTAGAAAATATTGTGTGTTTAAGAAATGAAATTTTATTCTAGCCATTTGGTCATTGCATAGCAAGACAGTGTGAAACGTTAGTCTCTCTTGGGCAGGGTTTCACGAGCAGGGAGGAATGTATTTGTTTTAGGAGGGAATTTAGCTCTGTATTTGATGTAGCATGTTTAATATTCTTTACTTATTCATGATTATTGTGAACATATTTACACATTACTGAAAAAAAAAATCAGAAAGCAAGTTGTGTGTAACACTAGCTTATGTTCAGTTAGAGATTAAACAAATAAGGAAAGCAGAAATTTCATGTGTAGTAATAAAGGATTGAAGGCAATGCCAATCAGAAAAATTCTTACAGCAACCCCTTATCTAGTACCAATTGTACAGAGACTCGTTCAGAAGGCTGGTCATGGAAAATCACAGAATAAAAGTGTCAGGTTCAAATCCTGTGCCCTTCATATTAACCAGGGTGTAATAAATTGAGAAGCAATCGTATTCATTTAAAATTTTGTAGAATTTTCAGTGTCATATATTTATTGATATCTAAATCACCAGCTGTGTATGACAAGTAGATGTGTACATTGTGTCAATAGCAGCCCAAAGGATCACTAGATAGTACCAGAAGAGTTAGCAGCAAGGCGTAGACAGGAATTTTCAAAGGGAGGGTTTTAAATTTTCTTATTGCTAAGATAAACCGTAACTGCCTGTGGGAAGCGTTGGTTTTCAAGAGTCTATAAAAAGCCACAAAAAATTGCTATGTTTTTTTGTTACGTTTCCAATGGGGGTACAAAGGTTTAAGAACCATTAGGGTATCTTATCGGTGACTCCCATCATATACGCACCCTCTGGATAATTTCAAATATTTACGTATTCTTTGCAGGAGATTATACAAAATCCTAAGGATATGTCTCTACCGCTAGAGGTGTCGTGAGCAAACCATACCAACCACACGATGTCACTGTATCACCAAGTCTAGCATCAACGGAATACAAAGAAATAAGGTCAGTTATCTTCAAAAAATAGATGGTTAAATGTTCCCATACCCAGCATGGACCGGTGACTGGGGGCGTGAGGGAGGTGAGGTCAAGATTGGACATGTGATTTTTTTATGCGAGCTTATTTACGTCGTTCTGGCTTTTACCTTGCCGCACCTTGGAAATGCCATATCTCTTTGTTTGCATTGCCTACCTAATTCACAGGGGGGGTCGATGGTCGACCACCCCCCTCCCATTTTTTTTTAAATGTAAAAAAAGACATTTTTCTGTATCTTTTGTAGCCCACCATGCTTTTTAGACCCTTCAAGACTCTGAAAAGTCATAATTTCTGGCCTTCGGCTGGATAGCTTTATGGCTATGCCCCTGATAATTCATTACATCTTGGGTGAAGGGCAAACATTGGATTTGAATCAAAATTTTTAACTCTGCCAACACGGTTGGTTTAACAGGTTGGGTGGCGGACATGGCACTGGATTTGTGCTCTTTGTAACAATATCAAAATCTTTGTTCCCTCAGGCTCCAACCTAGATCAAATATTGAAGTCCAGGCACCTCATGCCACATCAGCAGCTGGGAGAATACCCCACTCAATATTATTCTGAAGATCCCAGTGTTGTTTCGGAAAGATTCAATCATTATGATGCCATAGAATACCAGAATGATGCTAACTTCACAAGATTTTCAGAAGTACAGGTAGGGTGGGGATGTATATTTTGAGTGTAAAGTGTATTGGTTGTTTGTGTGTTGACATTTTTTCAAACGACTTGATGTTTTTGGGCCACCATAGTTCTATGTAGTAAAGTTAGGCTCGGCGGTGTGGTGCATTGGGTAAGTATTTGGAATACGCTTGCCACAGCACTTCTGATTACCATGTGTGGGTTCGCAGGTTTCAATCACATAGGGGATAATTATGTGCGGGAGGATTGCTGTCTCCTCGTGCAATGGGATGTTTCACGTAACCGCTGGTTGTTACGACTGCGTGCATCTGAGAGGCTGTGGTTCGCCATATGATCAGGTCGTTTCTTTCTCTTCCGCGGGATAAATATGTAATTCCCATCCTTCTATCCCGTTTAAATGCATTTGATCCAACTCTTCAATTTTCTCTAACTCTGTTTTATTTCATGTTCCAGGTGACACCAACTCTCCATGATAAATTCTGCAAGTTGTCAGCCTTATGTAAAGGACATTTAACTCGACAATTACTCGGATCGAACAAAGTGCAAGAAATATTGCAAATCATAAGGGTAAGTAAATTTTCTGCTTCCCGTTAAGGTTTTTCGAACTGGGCACTCTGTCTCTCAATGGGCAATGGAGCAGTATTCTGGGAGCCAATAGCAAATACCACCCCTTGATGTCATTCTCGAGTAAACTCGTATTTGTCTCCGGATTCTGAGCGACTGAAAAACTCTCTGGCTTATGAATTTCGACCCTAACGACTCGGACTCTCAGGCAAAGCGGTTCTCTGGGGGCCAATAGCAATTTTCACCACTAGATGTCATTGAGCAGTTGACTCCAGATTCTGAAAAAAATGATGTTTTTTGTTTATTCAGAGAAGGAAGAATTCAGTACTTCGACTCCGACCATTGAAAAAATACGCCAGTTATAACTCAAATATCAATAAAAACGCTTCCCAGTTCCACAGCCATATTTGGGTCGATTACTTGCAAGGAGATAGCTTTTGTTGTTATTCTAACTCATGGGAACATTTTTTATGATATATGGGAACAATTTATTTCTTCATGCTTTTCCACCATGCTTTTCCATTTTTCAGCCAACTCCGTGCCTAACTGAGTCCTTACTATACTGCTACCAATATGTGCGTTTGTGTCCGTATATTTAAGTATTTCTGTCTTGTTATTTTCAGGATACGAGCAGACTGATTCTCTCACTCAGAATGGAAGAAAGCAATGAAAAGAAGGAAAGTACTGAAAGTGAAGGGAAGACTGAAAATGGCATGAACCCTGTCAGAGATGAATATCTGGAAAACAGACTATATAACCAGGTAGGAATAATTTCAAATGTTTATTCTGCCAAAAGCTAGTTGACTTAATATCCAGGTAGGAATAATTTCAATATTTATAAATATTATTGATAGTTATTAATATCCAGGTAGGAATAATTTCAAATATTTATTCCGCCAAAAGCTAGTCGACTTAATATCCAGGTAGGAATAATTTCAAATATTAATTCCGCCAAAAGCTAGCAGGCTTTATATCTAGGTAGGAACAATTTATTGAGGGCTGAGGGCTCCAATTTATTTTTACACTGGAATTTTCTTGTATCATACATGACAATTTTTCACAGCTTGAAACATATTTCAGACCATCAAGACTTAAAGTTTTTGTAACCAGGAATTTTCAAAAGGGTGGTTATGAAATTTTTAATTGCCTAGTTCAGGGGTCCTTAACCTTTTCTCTGTTAAGTACCCCCAGAGTCACGAAACAATCAACGCGAATCCCCAGTAATTAGACACCAAACTAAATTGTGATACATTGACTAACAATTTGCTGCAACGACGGCCAAGCCGTGCATTTTACATTGTTGCTTCACAATCACAACAACGCAAGATCAGGGAAAATGTTCGCTGAGTTTCAATTGGCACATATTTTCCTCTTGTAGTTTCTTTGTTAAAGGATATTAAAAAAAGCAACATAAGAAAAATCGACTGTCATCCAAGTACCCCTGGAAATCTTCTCGTGAGTCTTGGCTCTTGAGGGTTTAAAAAGGTGTTTTAAAAGAATTGCTATGTCTGATACAGAAAAATGCTGTTTTTTATCTTTCAAAAGGGGGGGTTCTGACATTTTTGGAAATGCCTACAGCCCAAGCTTTAAGTTTCTCTCCTATTTTTTCAGCTACGTTCAGCTATTTATCAGCTACACAACATATTTTTCAACGTTTCTACGAAGGAGAGAATGTACATCATTGCACAGTCATGTCTTCTCGCAAGATCTGCTGAAAAGGTAATAAAGAGTATAAGTAGTATGATAGGATTTTTCATATTATCCGGGGAATGGAAAGACGGGAGTGATTTGAGAGGGTGTGGGGACTAATGGTTTCTAAAAAAAAGTCATTGAATACCCTTATGGGTTTGAAGATTCAAATCCCATGCGGGGATAAATATGCGCAGAGGATCGCTGGATTCATCATCGCCGCGGGGGTTTAAGTGACCGCTGGTCGGTTACGGCTTCCTCCACCACCAAGTCCATGCTTCGAAAACAAATAACTGGTTAACTAAACTCATACCCGACCTGGACTGGTAACCGGACGAGAGGCCGTGGTTTGCCATATGATTAAGTCGTCTTATCAACCTTCTTCCTCCAAGGATAAATATGTAAAAACTATGTCCGGTATCTGCCGTCATATAGCTGTTTTCTACACTGTCAATTCTATGCATCTAAAACTAATAACTGGCTAACTGGTTCCATACCTGACATGGACTGGTAACCAACCCTTCAGTATAAACAAAGCATCTTCTTTCTTGTAATATGAAGCACCAACAACCAAATACTGTTTCGTTGTACAATGATTTCAAGCCTTTTTTCACTACTAAAAAACTTCATTTTGAAACACCAGCAAACAAGGTCGAGTTTATTTTTATCCACTAAAAAAATTACTCGAGCATGAATTAAGAGAAAATTATGATTGCACAGTTTTACTGGGGAAGGGAAGTTGCAGGAACCAAAGCTGGTTATCGAGCAGCAACATCCAAAAGAAATTTTTTCGAAAAACCTAATTTAAAATTTATTTCACAGAAAAATCACAACCCAATCAGTTGTCGATTGCTACGCAGAAATCTCTAGAAAGGAAAAGATTGCTCAGGTGAGTTTGCTTAGGTTTTGAGCGAACCAACAGTTTTACAAAGTTTCATACTTAGACAATAGGATAGGATTTACATATTTATCCCGGGGGAGAGGAAAGCCGATAAGACGGCTTATCCATATGGCGAACCACGGCCTCTCGTCCGGTTAGCATTCCAAGTCGGGTATGGGATTAGTTTTACTGTATTGTTTGTTTTTCGGAAGCATGGACTTGGTGGTGGAGGAAGCCGTAACCGACCGCGGTTACGTGAACCACCCAACGACGGCGAGGAGTCCAGCAATCCTCTCGCACATAACATCCCTGCATGGGATTCGAACCTGCGAACCCACGCAGAGTAATTAGAGGTGCGGTGGCGAGCGTATTTCTAACGCTTAGTCCGTTGAGCCACACCGCCGCCCTGGATCCAAAAAAAAATGTTTTTAATTTTTTTATTTCTATTTTCCAGCTCGAATTCTGATGGCTCATCCCATCCTGTTGCCAACCATGTAAAGACTCATCATAAAGATGTAAGTAGGGGATCTGGCAGCTTCAAAGTTTCCATTTTCAAAATCCTCAAATTCTGCAGTATTAAGCAGATATTACAAGTGAAAAAATAGGATCCAGACTTAATATGGATGTTTCTCCAAGCATTGATTTCCTTGTTTATTTCCATAACAATGACCAATCAGCAAAAAGTCAACAATGACGTAACAATTATAATTTTTGCAGCTGCTCAGACAAAAAGTGCTTAGTTTTCGTGTTATATGTCAGCTTTCGGTGGTGTTTTTAAATATTTGTTGTATTTTAAATATCATCATTTCCTCTAATAAGATTTATTTTAGTTGCAACAATCAAAAATTAGTCCCGGAGCAGCTGTGATAGACTAAGCTAAAATTAGCTATCAGTTCCTATTAGCGGCACATGGTTGTGTAATTCAATAAAAATAATAGTTTTGAGCATGTACATCAGTTTGTAAGCGTCAAAATAAGCATCCAAAATTTTGCAATAGTAAGGTACATGTAGAATATTTCCTGGGTCAAGGGTCAGGGAAAAGCCATACTGAAAAGCATCCTCTCAACTCCATCTTATTCACAATGCCTGTGACACATACAGATCCAGCAGACCAAGAAACTTAAAGTAGTTTGTCACACAATCCCCCAAAAGATGTCTTAGACTAAAACAAGTAACTGGTTAAGTATTCTCATACTGAAATGGAAATGGAGGCCATGGTTTGCCATATTAATTTTTTCTCTCTGTGCGGATAAATAGGAAAATTCTATTCTATTCAAATTAATCGATAAAAATCCAGCAAATTTTTTTTCCATTTTTCAGATTAAAAGCAAAATTTCGCATATTTGGAAAACAGAGCCTGTGAAACTACCTGAGAAGAAGTCTCCTATAATGCCCAAAGTTACATCACAAAGCAAGAATCAGAAACCAATTGTGACTTCACAAAATAAGGCAAAATCTCATGTGACAACACAAGCTAAACCTGTGAAACAAGGTAAGAAAGTGTCATCTCCAACCTCCAGTGGGACAGCAGAATCAAAGTCCAAATCTCCTGTTACACAATCAAGATCTATGACATCACAACAAGGAAGAAAACCTACTACATCAATGTCAAGTATCACATCACAATCAAAACCCAAATCTTCTGTTAAGTCGCCAACCAAAAAAGTGATGTCACAAACAACCAATGTGACATCACAGACAAACACAAGAGTGACATCACAAAGACTTAACAATACACAAAACAATAACAAAGTGATGTCACAAACAACAAACCAATGTCTAGGAAAACAGTTCAAAACAGAAAACCAGTTCCGCTCTCTAGCAGAGGAAATTTAAGAGGACATGTGTAAAACTGAGAACCACTGGGAACAAAAATTTGCGTAAATTTATACATGCGTGTTGGTTATTTTATTGGAACGGAAATTGCTGTTTTGACTCTTCAATGAGAGAGTTGAAATTCAGCTCAATTCAGCAATTTTTGTTTATTTAAAATTACACAATACTTGATATTTTTCATGGTTTCGGTATTATTCGTAGCATATTATGTAGAAATGTTATATATTCTTGTAGTTTGCAGTTCCTGTTATGTTGCGTTTTTACGTATTTACTTCAAAAAGACTCAGTACAATAGCCACTGACATTTTACGGAATATTTTGCCATTCTTGGGAGGACGCGAATCTTTCCGCTTCATTGCCTACACCAAGGCTTTCCAAACTGGGGGTAGCGCAATGGATTTTAGGGGTTGCAAAGCGTACACCAATTTCACCATGTGTTGTACTTTTTTAGACTTCTGATTCGAAACATAATAATCAAAACTACTGCAAAACATGAATCTCACGATTTTTAGAGAATAAATAGAATCAGACGCGCCTGCATATTTCGAACTGTTTAGCATTTCAAACTTGAACGGAGGTAACAGGGACCACGAGCTTATGAGTTTTGGAAGTTCTGGAAGCCCTGCCCTGCACAATTCATTACACTTGTGTGAGTTGGGGAGCGTGGAATTCGAACCCAAGATTCGTAACATGAGTTGCCAACATGGTTCATTCAAAAACTCCGCACACTAGGCCTCTTTATGTTTGTATTATTATTGTGTCGTTTATATAAAGTAGCATAGTATAGTAGAGATGTTATATATATTTTTGTAGTTCATCTGTTGTGTTATTTTTTTTCTTCATTAATTCTGTGACATTTTATCCAGAAGTTCGAATCGTAAATTTCAGTTTCTCACAGTAAATATTCTTACTACGCCCAAATGGTGCTTTCAAATAACCTCAGAAAGAGATAAATTTGAATTTAAAAACCTACTTTGAACATTCAACTTGCCTATGCGTCAAATCATAAAAACAATCCTAATTCCTCACATAGTCATTACTTTTTCATGATTTTAATCGTATTTATTTAAGAGGAGCATAAAGACTATAAGATACCGTGTTTTCCCGATTCCTTTGGAAAAAACACTAGGGCTTTATTTTGGGAATGCGTCTTATTTTCATTTATCAAAATTAAAGAGTCGTTTGTTCAAATATACAAAATATGAAAACCGATATTCATTTACTTATAAATAACACGTTTTATTTAAAATAACTGCTAAACATAGATTATTAATCATTTGGACGTGTAGGAGAAATATCTTGTTATAAACAAGTCAAAAAGTTCCATGTTATCAACTAAGTCTTATTTTAAGGGGAGAGCTATATTAAAATTATTTTAAAATTCAGGCTCGGTCTTATTTTCTTAATCATAGGGTAACTTATCCAATCACCTGTCCACTTCTGCGTCGCCCACTCAATATATTATTACAAAATGATTCCTGATGCTTAGTGAGTCTTTGCTTGCCAAAAAATAATTCAATCATACCGATCAATACTCGTTGAAACATTACCAATCATTGATGTACATTTTATATTTTAACATTTCCCTCAGAACTAGGTCTTAGGCCGGCAGAAATGAAATATAGCTCTAACATATTTATTTAATCATATGGGTTGTGGATTCTTGGATCGTTCACACCCGCACCTAATTCTTTATTTTGGATCATTAGCCCCTCTTTTAAGTTTCCTTTTATAAAATAATTTTATAGTTTTGAATATATATATGAAAAGAACTGCAACACCATAATAAACAATCTGACTTGCTTATAACCATTAGCTGGCCGAGGAAGTGCGTGTTTGAGGATGCCGAAATATAATTTCATGAAAGTGACCCCATAATTTTTGAAAATTTTGTATGTAGATCTTTGGTAAAAATAGTTGAGTAGCCTGATATAGACTACTTTATACATATACTCGTATATGTGGACCGAAATTATTCCTTGAATTCAGCAAAAGAAGCAGTTTTTTTTG